CAATGAGTTCACTCATCTATACTCAAATGGCCTCCACAGTCACCAGATTTCAATCCAACAGAGCACCTTTGGGATGTGGTGGAAGAGGAGTTCGCATCATGGATGTGCAGCCGACAAATCTGCAGCAACTGTGTGATGCTATCATGTCAATATGAACCAAAATCCCTGAGGAATATTTACAGTATCCTGCTAATTCTATGCCACAAAGGATTTAGGCAGTTCTGAAGGCAAAGGGGGTCCAACCCGGCCCTTATAAGACGAACTTAATAAAGTGGCCGTGAGGCAGTTTTCCACTACAGCTCTAGAAATGAGAAAGCAAGTCATCAAGTCAAGCAGTGTAGGCCTTTAACATTTTACTGTGAACGAAAAACACTGAGATTTGAGAGAGGAGTTCAACCTTTTTTCTCCAAATAATTGTAAGTTCCTTGTTCAGAATTGAGCATCTCTTTTTTTTAAAAAGTTTTTTTCACCTTTAATTGATAGGACAGTATTGACAGGAAATCGTGGTTAGCATAAAGACGGGAAGGATCAGCATAGGACCTCAGGGCAGTAATCGAACTCTGGTTGCCGTGAAGTGCCATGTGTCATTGCACTAACCACAATGTCATTGGTGCCGACTAGTTTCATGTTTTTAAGAGTTTAGAGTTTGTATCTTGAAGTTTCAAGTTAAAGACATTTTTCCTCAGAATTGCAATTTAAACTAATTGAAGTGTTGATTCTTTTCCTCACAATTAAATGTCATGATCAATCAATCAATTTTCGTGTAATAGCTGCTGTAAAAGATTGCTTAATGCCAATTTCAAAACGTAAAAACTATATTCGAGACTAGAAACGAACAATATACACAGGGCTTTACATTAACAGCCACCAACCCACCAGCTTTTTTTTTTTTTTTAACTGTGGCGGGTTAGACAGACACAACCACTTGCCACGTTGCGCGCTCCCGTTTCCTTGCCTGAAGCAACGGTGCCTACTGCCAAGAAACACAACTGGTGTGATCGGTTCTCTTTCAAATAGACTAGACAAAAAGTGATGAACATGCACCCACAGTCTTGCTGCTTTCAAGAGCTCCAGATTTGTCTTTTTGTAATAAGCACCGATTTCTTTTATGGAATAAAATCAGTTTTATTGATTTTTTTCCATAGCTTTTGCTTTAACCATTATTTGAACAGATTATTAATGGGTCTAACGTTAATCATGTGCGTGTGATCATCCTTTCATTATCACACACGGGTATGTTTGTCACCTGCTTTCTTTCGCTTACAGTTATTTTTTGTCAATAAGGTTTAATTATCAGCTTCTACAATAACATTCCTTTAATAGGATATTAAATTCCCATTTATGTATAGTTAACAGGCGATCTGGGACCCTTAGACAGAACAGATTACTGTGCATATTTTAAATACATGACAATATTTAGTTTTAAAATGTCAGTTTTTTTTTTTTTTTTAAAGAAGTGTTTTGTTAAATAAAAAGTACAGTATGCAGCTATATTTTGACCCATTTGCCCATGCTCATTGAGCAAGCTCACAAAAAAAAGTGAAATGAATGAGGAGGCTTGTAGACAGAACACAACATCTAAATCAAGTAAATTTAGCATGTCAAAGTCATATTTCTGCATTCATTCATTTTTTTTCGGCTTAGTCCCTTTATTATTTCGGGCCATCACAGCGTAATGAACCGCCAACTTATCCACCAAATGTTTTACGCAGCTGATGTCCTTCCAGCTGCAACCTGTCACTGGGAAACATCCATATACACTCATTCACACTCATACACAACTGACAATTTAGCCTACCCAATTAACCTATAACACATGTCTTTGGACAATGGGCATATTTATGCATTTAAAATATTAAAATAAACATTTTCCAAACAACAAAAGTGTGGCTAGTGAAAATGGTGAGTGGCTAGTAATGTTGGAAAGCTACTAGCCACAGTGGCTGGTGATGAAAAAAAAGTTAATGTCAAGCCTGGAATATACATTTGCTATAAAACTCGGCGGAAAAAAGTGGCAAAGCAGCGAAGATTCCACAGTGAAGTTAACATATTTTATTTCTTTAAGTGCCATTCATGCATATCGGGGGAAGGGTGGTATTGACAATCCTAATGACACTTCAGAGTTATTTTACAGCACTAAAACCAATACAAAGAGAAGCCGTGTCATCTTATTGGACAGCAAAAGTAATAAACCGTGCAATAACGAAAAAGGACAAAAAGGAGAAAACAAAGGAAACAACAAATACAAGTAATGACCAGGACAAAATCAAAACAAAGATTAAAATAGAATATAAACACTGAAACACTGAATGTTGAACCATAGTACAGGTAAAAGGTAGTGTCACACAAAAAGCCAACGCATTTTCATCACATATATACAATATAGATATATACATACTGTGTCACCCTTGGATTGGACAATAACAAAATACTCTGTATTCATCTCCCTCTTTTCTTTCGCAGGTGAACCCGAGCCCTTGCCTTGATCCCTCGCCACCCCGGAGGAAAAAAGGACAATCGAAAAGACACATATTTACAAGCACAACAACACACCAACAATGAATAAAATAGGCTCCAAATACCAGAACGTGTTGGCAGTTTTCTCCCATAAATGTAACAAGGCTTCTCAAATCTTCCTTGATTACAGTAATCTCTCTGGCAGACGCGTCTCCATTTGTTTTTACTTCTTTTTTTTTCTTTTTTTTTTTTTGTTTTACGAAAAACGGCGTCGTCTTTAAACAGTTCACACAACACAAACACAAAAAATCAAAGGAGCAATGTTTTTCCTTGTCTTTTTTGAGGAAAAAGAGAGATCGAGAGAGAACTCATCACCTGTCCAGCTCATATTTTCTCCCCTTTGAAGCTTTCTGTTCGGTCCGATCCTTTCAGACTTACTTGACAATTTACCCGCTGCCCCAAATCAAACCGTCTCTCTTTGGCAAACAAGAGATCCAAACACATCACTACCACGAATAGATTGGCAATACATACGAAATAGCTCCAACTCAAAACGGACGCTCCTTCAGTGGTCGACATCCAGACTAAACCGTGATCGAGGGCGAACACCACAGTATGCTTAAGGTAAAGTTCGATGGCAGACGTTCATGAACCACGCGAGTGCTTGTGCTTCTGAATTCTTCTCGAAAGTGCACACATGATGACCAGATAAAAAAGCTCTTTGTTAGACAAACACTGAGGCGAATAGTTTAACAGCTTCCAAAGAAAAGAAAAAAAAACAACAGATGAAACAACGGATGGAAAAGAAGAAAGGATGCAAGGAGCCAAAGCAGATTTGGGCAATGGAGCTTAGCTTAAGAACAATGTGCTGAGAAACAAAACAAAAACACACACACACACAGACAGTCTTGGGTTCTCCTCTCTTGTATAATTCAGCATCATGGCCAATTGAGTTGGATTCCTGGGTTGTGTTAGGCTTGTGTAATACGGTTTTGCCAATTTAAAGCCCATCAGCAGCATCAGAGGATATGACAATTGTTATGTAATGATGGATTACATGGGATTGTGGAAAAACTGAGGAACTGATGGTGGACAGGATTCAGAGAAGAATCAGAATGAAATGTCATGAACAACTGGATTTCTTAACCGTACATTGAGGAAGAATCCCTCAAAACTTGTCATATTTCACCTCAAAATAAAAAGATATTTTTTTTTTGTCCCAAGAAACCAATTTAGAAGACCATTAAAGTTTTTTTCTTAATCTGTTAAGGCAACACATTCTATTTTGATGCAAAAGTGTTTTCATATTCATAGAGGAAAATATTAAGTGCAAGTGAATTGTTCACTTTCATGTTTCAAATATCATTTGTAAAAATAAAATATCAAAATAATTTCACTGTGTATGTCTGTTGTCCTTCACTGACTCAGTAGGTGCAGAGAATAGTGTCAAACAGTCGTGTGTGTATAGATTATCCTGTCACAAAATGCGTAGAAAATCCTTCACTACAGTAATAGTTTGATTGCGGTGTTTATATGTCTGTACTGCACTTAATAATGCAACTAAAATCAGGAAATTCTTAATGTCTTAATCCGATTTCTGTTTAGTTCGATTATGACCCTAATCAGATTAAATTGTTCAAAAATCACTGTTTACATGGTAGACTCTTAATCAGAGTATTGTCTTAATCATATTAAAATCTTATTATTGGTGTCCATGTGAACGTACTCAATGTTGCATTGCCATTCAGCACAACATATATTTAAGCAAAAATCAAATCAAATACTATGACTAATTATACAAATAAGTGATCATATTCAGTTTTATTAAATTTTAATTGATTAAAAGTTTCTTGCTGACAAATGTATTAAAAAGCTGTTTGAAGGAAAAAGTTTATTTAAATATGATTTAAACAAGTATTGTGGGGCTGGACTTGTGATCCTTTAAAAAGAAGTCTTCTAATGTGATTTAATGATTATAACATTTTTGCTATATAAGCAATTATTACCTTTAATTACATTTTATGCAGTTTGATTTGAAAACATTTTCATTATTGACTCATAGCTTCTTAACTTGTAAAACAACTAAATTTGAATTTCAGTACTGCCTTTATAATCAAATTCTCATTTTTTATTACTTAAAATACTTACAATACAATAAACAAAAAATGAGAATCATTTCAACAACAAAAAATAAACTCAGAAAAAAATAGTAAAATATCTGAACATATTACAATAATGAGAGTGTGTGTGTTCTTTGACAATAATAGTGTCTCAGTAAAATTCATTCATTCATTCATTCATATTTCTTAGACTTAGTTCCTCTATTAATCAGGGGTCGCCACAGTGGAATGAACCGCCAACTTATCCAGCATATGTTTTATACAGCAGATGCCCTTCCAGCTGTAACCCTGTACTGGGAAATATCCATACACTCTCACACACTACGGCCAATTTAGTTTATTCAATTCACCTATAGCGCATGCCTTGGACTGTAGGGGAAACCAGAGCACCGAGAGGAAACCCACTTGAACACAGTGAGAAAATGCAAACTCCACACAGAAATGCCAACTGACCCAGCTGAGACTCGAAAGAGCAACCTTAAACCACCGTGTCACCCCTGTCTAATTAAAATATAAATTTCAACTCCCAATCTTAATGGTCCTAAAAATAGCGAAACAATAATTTTGTCTTTAAATTTTAAGCTTGAAATAAGACAAGTTTTCATGATTATTAAACATTTATGAGGAACCCCTGAAGGTAGGGTTCATGATCCATTACGAAACAATCAAAAACCAAAACATGTCAATGACTAGTGTAAATACTTGAAGAGTTCGTAATACTGAAACAAAAACGATTGTCATCAAATCACTTTCCAAGTCTATTTGCACTTAAACACGATCAACAAATAAAGATGACTGCAAACTACTGAAAGGGTGCGTAAACGTTGAAGCGATGAGAAACAAATCCACTTCTTCCCTTTTCAACCGCACTTTATGGCTTTTCCAAATCAGCACTGCACTCCAATTGACGTGCTGCTGCTCTCAGATAAATACCCTGCTAAAGGTCAAAAGCCTGCCTCTATTTCTAATTTGGGTTCTGCTATTCTAGTCCAGATCTTGTGCATTAGTTTTGTGCTCTTCAAAAGAGATGATTGTAATCACTAATAGCCCTAAATAAAATAAATAAAACAATATTGCACAAATACTCCATAATATCACTGATATAATAAAATGACACTGTGGTTTAAGTTAGCAGAGCATTTCAAAAGCCTGCAAAAGCCTCAAGTTTTTTTTTTATTTTAAACTCACATGACGTCTTTGTAGTAGAATTTTAATGAACATTCCTCCAAAATAAGGCTATTAGTGTATCGAAATAATTGAGCCTGCTCCTTACCTGCAGTATTACTTTACACAGATCAACAGCACCTTCGCTTTTTGCAAAAACAAAAAAAAAAAAAGTCCTTGTCAGTGCAGCAAAGAGCGAGGGAATTCATGTCGGTTGGTCCTTGGGTTAAAATAAAGAGGGCTCTTTTATTGCGGACCATTAAGCAAATGTGCCTTGACGTGATTTTCATCTCCTCCTCAACGCTGCTGTAAAGAGCCACACAGCATGCTGATTTTCGCAGGCCTCTCCGGTATCCCACAAATCTCGTAAACTACGTGTGTGAAATTTTCAGCGGCGGGTCCTGAGGGCTTTAAAAGCGACGCGGTCTGATTGGGGGAACTACAGGTGGATGAGGATTGTACGAGCGATGAGGAACGACAATAGTAAGGTCTCGTTTTCTGACGCACACGTTCAGACTATTAGTGACAAAAGAACATGACACACGTTAGACGGCAAGGATACACAAGTACAAATACTGTAGGTAATGTGGTTTTGCTAAATTTCCTTTAGATTTTGCTAGAATTAAATGCATGGCGACATATTACAGTGTGTAGGGTCAGAGGAGGAGCATTAAAACAAAAAATAGAAAGAGGACATTTGTGCCTGAATGACAAGAATGAACTGGAGGTGCGTCAGGAGTGACGTTTTACCTGCACCGTCGGCCCTCTTTTGAAAAGCGCCCTGCATCTCAGAGGAAGTTTCACAACACACATGAGGGAGCCAATCCCGTCTGGCCTGAGTTAGTCACCACAAGAGGGAGAACAACCAGACGAGTCACTCGGGAAAAAAAAAAAAAAAAATCACAGAACGACAGTTGAAGAGCAGGGGTGAGCTTGGCAAATTGAGCGGGCTTGCAGAGAGGCTGTGGGTTGGGAGACATTTTGACATAAACATGAACCACTTGCCTCTTGGACAAGTATAAAAGCGATCACTTAAACATGTCCTAGTAAATGTGATTGTCTTCAAAGTAATATCTTTTTTGTTTTTGTTTTGTTTTGTTTGATAAAAACACCAGGAACACAGGAGTCTCTTTCAGGTCATAATGAACAACACCAGCACTTATTTTTTTCAAGTGTCCCGTTCTGATCTGCTTTCTGCCAGGGGCGTGCAGACACCTCAGGTCCAGCCCTCTTTGCTCTGTAACACAAACACTCTGCCTCCATTCGCTCCTCTCTCGTTTTTTTCTGCAACACTCTATGCGTTCGGCGACTGGGTTAGACAATAGAGTCCCAGTCGAAGTCGTCCTGGATGTCGTCGGCAGGCATGCGGCGCATCTGGAAGTTACCGCCGGTCATCATGTGCTGCTGGCTCATCTGAGGATGATGGCCTGAGAGGAGAGTAGAGCAAATCTGTCAAGACCCATAAAGGCTGTGCAGGTTAAGAAAAGCACATTAACTGCATTACACCGTGCTAATGAGTCAAACTGATTTTAACAGACTAGGTGTTAGGGCTGTGCGATACGGGCAAAAGAAGCCTATCACGATTTTCTAAAACAATATTGAGATTTTGATTTGAATCACGATTTTGACACAAAGACGTTTTACAGTGTAAATTTGAAAAATAGTGCACCTAGTAAAGCTGTGATAAATTGTCTCTAAAACAGACCTATGGTATAACAAATAAATAGAGTACTGTGTGTGTGTGTGTGTGTGTACCATCAAACACAAGTCTCCGATGTTCTGTTAGACCACATCAGATGTTTTCCATGCATAGATCATAGACTTGACCATAGATCATAGATTTGTGACGCTGACGTAAAATAGGCCGTCCACATATCGCGTCATTTGTGTGCACAAGTTTGTTATTTCCAATGGAGGCGCGCGGCTTGCACAGATACTGGGAGTGACGCGCGTGCGTATCCCATGTGCACCCACAACATCTCTACTTTCAGAACGGTGCAAGTACACCGATAGTCACATAACAAGAACTGAGTGATTGGCTTCATTTTTTGTATGGAATCTACACATTTCGGTTGACTAATTGCCTCACAAACAAACACAAAACACCCAGCACTTTTTTATTTTTTCCATAGATAAATATCGGAACTGCAGCAAAGTTTTGTTAGTTTGATGGTTGATGGTCACCGAGCATTGACAAAGGAGCGCAAAGCATGTTGAATGCTGAAGAAAGCAACACGATTTTCACACACTTTTAGATGCAATATGTGACTGACAGGTCTAATAAATGACTTGATTATGCGATACATCAGCCTTCCTTTATTCAAAGTAATCACACACCACAGATGATGACTTTTTTTTTGGCACCAAGTCCTCCTGTGCTGAACTCATTCTCGTTTATGCAGGCTATTTGTCATTAAGCTCCATCACCCTTTCTTATGCTCTGTTTAGGCACGCTGCGTTATGATTGGTTCAAATAGCATACTACGTGCTTTTTAAGAAAAACGTGCTGTAAGGCGATATAGAAATCGAGCATGTTCAAATAGCGATTTCGATATGATTGCAATTAATCGCAGAGACCTGCTTGGTGCTTTTGATTTATACATGCTTGTTCACCCAAAACTGAAAGTTGTCATCATTTACTTACTCTTCACTTGAGTTTAAGATTCCTTTTTTCTGATGAACACAAAAGAAGCTATTCTGAAAAATGTTGGAAACCAGCAACCTATGATTTCCTAAGTATTTGTTCTTCACAGTATGGAATTCAATGGTTTTCGGTTTCTACATGCTTCAAAATAAAGTGTGTTTTTTTGTTTTAACAGTAAAAAAAGAAAAATTGTAATGTTTGCAACCACTTGAGGGTAAAAAAGAGAGTAAGTTTTCATTTTTGGGTGAACCATCTCTTTAAAACAAACAAACAAACAAACAAACAAACAAACAAACAAACAAACAAACAAAAGGAATACAGCTACTGTAAACTGCAATAACACTTCATAATGTTAATGTTTTCACTAAGTTTCAGCAACAACAACAAAAAATGTAAAGTTTTTATGAGCTTAGGAAACTTCTTAGAAAAAACAATAAAAGGATCATGAACTGAAAAAAAATCTAAATTCCCACATAAGAGGTCATGTTCTGATCAGTAGAGGTATTATAATTATAATAATTATTATAATTGTTTACATAAAAACATGATAACATTATAAATAGACACTAAGGACATTATAAAAAAGGCAGTTTGTGACCCCTTAAAAAAACGACAGCATATTAGAGGAAGGAGTTCATTCAAATCTCTATGGAGATTAAAATATGACAAAAAGAATTTAAATAGTGTCAATTTGAATAATTGACAACTGTAATTCAGTAAAACTAGATGTTATAAGTCCTCATGAGCAACACATAAGCCAGCAAACTGGCTTATTGAAATATTGAAATATATTGAATTTGAGAGTGAATTTCTTCATCTTGAAAACTTGAAACTGCATTTTTTTTAAAACCTAAATATGTGTGTTCTTTGAATTCAGAAAAAAAAATATCTTAAGTATGAAAATATGTTCATAAAAACCTGCCTTAAAAATTCAGTTGTCCTAAAATTCAGATGTTCAATGTTCAAGTTAAGAAATTCAAAAAAAAAAAAAAAAAAAAACACTGTTTAATGACATTTAATATTCAGCTTTATTAAATTCCAATTGTCAATAATTCAAATAAACATATTTTGTCATATTTTAAGCTCTGTAAATCTCTAACCTCAATATTTGCCTCATCTAATTACAATCTACTAGGGATGTAACGGTATTGTAAATACCGTCATACCGCAATATTAAATTTTTTCGATATTACCGAAGTCGCATGACTCGGTAAAACTATAGGTCTTCTGAGAAAATTTGCTCAGGCGAATGAAGCGAACGGGAGGTAGCTGGAACTTCATTTCCCATCAGCCCCGGCGTGGCCATAATCCTTTGCGGTCTGTTGTCGCTACAGATCCAGTAATGCGGAAATGGAGTGTGCTGCTAGTAGCGGAGATGAAAAAAAGATGGAAATGATTGAACCTAAAGCGGGTGTTGTCGCCGCGCGCGTGCTGAATAGCGGTGCTGTCGCGCGCGTTCTGATCAGCTGTGTTGTGGCGCGCGAATTGTAAAGCGCCGAGGGGGGGTTGAGCGCGCATACTCAAGAGAGGTGTTATCGCGCGCCTACTGAAGGGCTGGACTGGACGGAGGTTGTGTCGCGTCGCGGGGGCACTTTTGATCGTTTTGGAAGGGCATTTTCTATCCAAGACTAAAAAGGGCATGTGCACTGCACAGGTTGAGCCCTATGTGTGCACGTGCCTGCAAGTTGGGGAATACGACTAATAACAGTCATGGGGACTGCAGAAACACAGCACACTGTTCAGATTGATGCAGACATTGACTTGTACCGCAAAGAGATCTCTATCTCACTCATGGTTTGTCCTCTCAAGTGGGGGAAAGACAATGCACAACGTTACCCCACTGCTGTCAACATGGGCCAAGTCATATCTCTCTTGTCCCAGAATCCTCAGTCCCAAATGAGAGGGTTTTTTTCTGTTGCAGGGGACATTGTAAATACCCAGAGATACCAGCTTTTACCAGATTATATTTATATGATAATTTTCCTTTAAACCCATCTCTATCTAAGTGAGTGATTAAATGTTAAATGTGATGAGTTTTTAACAATACTAAATTGAAACTTTATTTTTTTACATGGTTTAATAATTTTTTGTTATTAAAATTGAAGTTCCTGTTTCAAAGCTAACAAATAGATGGCTAATTTGTATGTCATTGACACTTTTGGCACTTTTTTGGGAGTATTTTCAAAAGTTTTTTTTTCCTGTAAATGATTCAATAAATACCGTACCGTGACATTCATACCGAGGTATTACCGTACCGTGAAATTCTGATACCGTTACATCCCTACAATCTACACAATAACCTCAGGAAAAATATTTTAGTGAAGAAAGCCTGAATTCAGCTGAATTTGATGCATCGCCTGCAGTCATATAAATGTTGTTATAAGAGCTGTAAAACACAAGTACCTGTCATAGTGGGTCCAGCGCTGCTCATGGGCGGCATATGAGTGTATCCTGGAGGACCCATCAACGAACTCAAGCTCGGTCTCGAGTCCATGTACACGTTTCCTGAAAAACAAACTGATGTTACCATGTCACTAATGCGGCAGTGGTAGTAAGTGCCAGTGTGTATTTTAGTGATGAATGAGGGCACTCACCTCTGTTGATGTGTGGGCTGGCCTTGTTGGGATGCATGGAGCCATGGCACACCGACGCCTGCACTGCCCCTTGTGGCTGGATTCCAGTCTGAGCAAAGAACTGATTGATAGAAGAGCAGAGGTCTGCCATCTGAGTGGGCTCCAGAGACCAGTTATTCATCTCCGCCTGTCGCATGCTCTCTTTCAAACCTACAGGAAAAAAAGCAGGACAGATCATTTAATCACTCTGTCTAGCAGATTCCACACAAATAAAAACAAAAGACTTGAGTGACCAACCACAGAAACCATTTTAAAATGACTTGCAAATTGAATTTTATTCCTGAAAAGCTTTATAAAATAATGTACAAAATAAAGCTGAGAAATATAAGTGGACATTTTTTGTAAATAATGTAACAAAGTCTTTATAGATCAGTAGCAGTAAACTTACATTACTAAAAGATAATTAATAATTATCCAATTATTAAAAACAAATAACATTAAACTAACTGAAATTTGAAACTGTTAATTGTGTAAATATTCAAATATTTTAATAGCTGTGCAAAAGTAAAACACAAAACAAAAGAAGCAGAGGATTCACTTAATGAGTGCTTTGCAAGTTAATTAGACAATTTAAGTACACAATCCAATTTCCTGAGATAATCAAAACCATTTTTTAACAGTTGGTAATTATAGACTAAGCAATGTTCTTTATTTTAAAACATAGTTTCAAGAAAATTATTCATAATTACTGATTAATTACACTAACAAAATAAAAACAACATAAAAAGTTATCATTCATATTTAAAAAGGTAATTGCATTTAACAAGCTTCACCAGGTCTATCACTAAATATTTTTTAACCTTTTAGATAATAATATTTAAACAAACATATACCCTATATTTAAATAAATATTTAAATAAGTGCATGAATTAATTACTACGTTTAATATTTACAAAGGCTGAAATGTCAATTTGAAAATAATAATAATAATAATAATAATGAATAAAAAAATGCAATTAAAGATTTATATTTACATGATCTTAATTAAAAATAATTTCAATGCATTTATCATTATTATTGCAATATTATTATCGTCTACTATGGGCCCTTATTATGTTCTGTGGACCTAGTTCAAAATGAATAATTATAACCTTGGAAGGGAGACAAATCCACATCAGACCAGTTGCAGTTGGATGCGATGCGGCAGCTTTCTTTTAGCGCATCCAGGTTGGGGTACCAGTCACTAAGAAGACCTGCAACAAGGCAAAACCAGACAGCAATGAAGGCCACAGCAGACATGCGAATCTGTGCACTTGCTGTTTGAAGCAGCAGGGGGCGCCACAACCCTCCGCTTCAGGCCAGCTCTCTGAAGTGTGCTGCCTGTGCTTTGTTCTCATTAGAAGCAGCTGTATAAATCACCCTGTGATTTACTGCTGAATGCTCCAAAGTTGCCATAAATTTCTTAATGCAAAATAAATGATTGTTAGAAGCGGCCTGAATAAATCGGCGTGTCAAGGCAATGCTGGAGCTGAAACCTCGAGACAGGAGGTTCAGAATATGGATGTCAATTTATACAAATTCCCAAAATTGATCATCAGTTACTTAAACATTCAATTATTTTTTTAATTATTAACCTTAACAGGCAGTCTGTCATGAAAAACACAAATGATTTTACTGTAAATAAAACACTAGTAGGACTGTAGAAAGAATAATTGAATTATTAAATGATTGAACTTTTAATGACTAAATCAGGGGCGTCTAAACTCAGTCCTGGAGTGCCGGTGTACTGCAGATTTTAGCTTCAGCTTACCTCAACACACCTGCACGGCTGTTTCTAGAAAGCCTAGTAAGAGCATGATTAGCTAGCCTAGGTGTGTCTGATTGGGGTTGGACCTAAACTTTGCAGGACAACGGCCCTCCAGGACTGAGTTTGGCCACCCCTGAAATAAATGTAAAGCCTAATTTATAATACTTTCAGAAGTGCCATCTAAGATGCAGTCAACTGGTGCATGTGTGCCCATATGAGCTAATATGTTGTAGTTTGCTTGTTAGGAGTGTTATTTTCTTAACACATGTAGATAGAATATTGTATATTGAGGAAAGACAGGACAATGCAGAAGAATCTTACTAATACTGTATAAATTTTAAAAGTCTCATGCATTTTGCTTTGAACTTTCTGTAAAAATTCTATATTTAAATTGTATGTTCATGAGCTAAATGTTAAGCTTAGATAAATTATATGCTAAACCATGTCAGACAACTAACATTTTTATCATCAAGTGATTTTATCAAGTGATTCTGAATGCAACAAAGAGGGTGTTTTTTTTAGTGTAGTTAACCATGCACTAAATTTTACTCTAAAAACGTATCCAAGTGTAAACAAAAGCAAACCTGACCCAATTATGCACTTACTCTAGCATCAACACCGTTTTACATAGCATTTACATGGCTTTAAGCTCTTCTGTCAGACTGTGTTGTGTTTAACAGTACCCATGCCAGAGTGCTCTGCTTCATGAGTAAAATGCTGTATACCACAAAAGCTACTGAGCATGTGGAGATGTATACATGATGGAACATGTTAGTTTACAAATCTTGACTCATCTTTTAAATGTTTTAGGGTCTTTATATCGTACTATGCAAAGAGATGTACAAAAACATATCTTTTTTTTGTCAGAAATCTGTTTCTCCTAATATTTAAATATGTTATATTTCAATTATAAAAAATGAAGTCTATCACTTCATATTAATAATAGTACGCAAGAAAGTTGCAATCATGAAGGTAAAAAGTTTATTTTATACATTTTATTTAGCAACATTTAATTTTTTATGTTAAAAAGTGTTTTATATTTTATTCATATTTATTTTTATATTTCTACAAATTTAATTAAACATTTGCCCTGAAGTTCTAAATAGACGCTTTTCACATTTCCGGGTTTCTCAGTAGCAGAAGGCATCATAGGTTGGTAAACTTAGAGCGCAGTAAATAGTAGAGTACAACGAATATTTTTTTTTTTTACAATCCTGTTAGCTGAATTAAAAGAAAAACTCCACAATGATGTTATCAAGACTTTTAGAGAAAGGAAAAAAAAAATTAAGACTGATGACGGCAACTAGAGGAGAGAATAACGTCAAATTTACTCTTCAGCCCTATAGATGCTGCATTAGAAACAGCTCACATAAGCGGCCATTTGTTTTTTGTAATTCTATGCAAAGATGATATAATGCAGACATAAATACACATAAATGTTCATACATTTAAAAAGAAAAAAATCTAATTGAAAAAGCTTAAAGGATTTAAGATTATGATGACCGTTAAACATGTCATTACACTCTTTTGAATAGGGTCCCTAAAGTGAGAAATATAATCACATAGAAAATGAGTACTTTTCTAAGAATATACTTTATAGTGTAAAAAACAGTCCATTACATGTTGTTAATAAATACATAGTGAATAATATTAGCCAAAGTAAAACAAGATTTTCTCCACAAAAAAAAAAAAAATATATATATATATTAATGGAAATATAGATAAAAATTCCTTGTTCTATTAAACATTATTTGAGAAAAATTTGAAAGAAAATAAAATACGCAGGAGGGTTAATAATTTGGACTTCAACTGTATAAACTAATAGTTTATTGAATTTACAGAAATGGTTTAATATTGTTATGTATATTGTTATCAGGATATGCAGGGGTGACGAGACTTTTACTTCACAACACAAGACACAAGGTTTTGTTCACGAGAATGAGACAAGGTTTTTATACAATTTTATTTTAAATCCCTAATGATGAAATATATAAATGGAAAATAGTCTTTGATTCAACTGAATAAATAAATAAATCACAAAATGCATAACTATTTATGTGCTTTTTAAAAGTCAACTTACTTCATTTTAATGAATTCTATGCTGTAAAGGGCATGCAAACACTGCAAAATATTTTGCTAATATGTAAAAGGAAAATAGTGTTTAATTATTAGCAAAATACTTTGTAACATGAATGGAAAATAGATTTTTATTCAACAAATGTTTTTTTGCTTTCTCAAATAATCGTGTAATGAATGTTATTTTAATTCTATTTAAATGAAATTTTCCATAAAGAACATGCAAACACTGCAAAATATTTTGCTAAACTCTACTGACTGGACAAACTCCACTCACAACTGGATGCAAGTAAGGACATGGGAGAGAAATCACATAGCGATTTAGTCTTGCAAGATCTTGTCACACACCTAAAGATGACATTTACGGGGATATGTGATTTTGTCATATCACCCAGCTCTAAATTGTGGAAAAACAAATTCTGTCTACTAACATTAATTTCAGCCAGAATCTGAATGGAAGCATGTTTACAAGTATGGCTTGGCAGTTTAGCAGAAACATAGCCAGAATCAGGTATTAGAAAAAACAATGTGTTGTAATGTAGACATAATGGTGAACTCTTACCAGTATTGCACTGCATCTGTTGCTGGTGGGAGAGATTCTGGTGCTGCTGCTGTTGTTGCTGTGCCGTGTGCTGCCCGTGGGCCTGGTGCCCATGCTGGCTGTGTTGGCTGTGCTGGGGATGTTGGCTGTGCTGCGGGTGCTGGCTGTGCGCCGTGTGCGGGTGTTGGCTGTGAGGGCCATGCTGGGAGAGGTGCTGTCCGTGTGGCGAGTTGTGGGCCGAGTGGGGCGGGTGGGAGAGGGGCACCTGACTGCCATTGTTGGGGATGTTGTTGGGGTGCGAGTTAGTGATGCTGTTCTGGTTGTTGTGAGGGTGGCTGCTGGGGGAGTGTTGGTAGGAGCAGGAGGTGTGGGTCTGCTGGGATGACTCCGAGGGCAAACCCATCAGACCTGGCAGGAGCAGACAGAGAACATCATTTTAAGCAAAGCCTAAGAAGTTTGTAGTCATATTAAAGTACCTGATGATTAGCATTTTAGGGTGCTTTCACATCTAGACTTTTTTTCAGAACCTGCCTCATTTCCCCAGTGCTGTTTATCTGTTAGGAAAATTGACCAAACTGCAGTCTTGATTTATCTGTTATTTCTCTCTATAATGTAAAGCCTATAATGCATAATTCTAGCCAACAGCCATGTATGAAAGTCTTACCTGGATTTTATCATTCAAAATAAAAGCAATAAAATGTCTTACTGCAATACATAAAAAGTACATTTTCAACAATAATATACCATGCAAAGAATTTGATTTGGTTGATTTAAAATGTGATTTTCTAAGTGTTAGTGTCAGATTTCTTTAAACCCTCACATCCCAAATATCAAACTTTCTGATAATGCATGAATCTCAATTTCCTAAATCTTAGGACTGATTTTGTGGTTTGTGGTCAAATACGGTAACTCATAGGGCCAGACAGAATCTTTTGCTATTTCTGCGGAGAATTTAAAAAAAAAGAATTTGTGGATTTAAGCAGAATAATTTTATGAGTATCATAACTAAAAACTTAATATATGAAATAAAAAATAATTATTTTTTAACTTTTATTTAACATTTACAATGCAAATCCAAGTAGATGCTTTGGTAAACAAAGCAAGTCTCTCATATAATATATAGCAAACTGTACTGTAAATAAATCCTATGAACATTTTAATATTACTGTTATTAAATCACTATAATTTTAGTGAAATTTATTTTTATAACTGAATAAATAAATATAAATAAATTTACACACATTTACACAAGTAAATACATACACAGACTAAATGAAAGGCTAAAAATCTGCAAATTTCTGCGCACACAATTCCGTGTGGGCTACTCATTGGTTTTAATGTGGTTTTTGTGCATCTAAACAATTATTTTTCCACCTCACATGAGGGTTGAATATGTTATGCTACAGTTAACATGGCACATTTTTTCAATAACATTTATATATTTTATTGATATTAAAAGAAAATATTCCACTTCTAATAACACATAAAAAAACTGAAAGTTAACAACAGTACAATCATTAATATTTATAATTCAATGTTGTATTATTTCAACTAATTATTTAATACTCAATATTTAATCATTTACATACACAAACTTGTAATAAAGTTGGTTTCATATTTATTCATTAGTTTAAATTAAAATCTTTATTTTACATTTAAGTTATTTATTATTAATATTAATTAAACATAATTTAAAACAAATAAAACTAATTATCAACTTAATTTTAGTTACATTAAATAAACCATACAGAAAAATATATTTATGCAGAAATTGGAAGTGAAATGGCGCAAGCAGCAAAAGTGCGACTTTCTAAACTCATTTCCTACATCACTGTGCATATCAATGTGCTAAATCCACCCAAACACATTGAAAACATTTTATCCTTTATTTAAAAAAAACCAGCAGGCTGCCTAGACGTGACTCAGCACAAAGTCGTTGTTGTCTGCCCTCTTAAATCGCATTCCTCTCTTTCCAACTTTTCATTTGGGCAGCGATTGTTTTGAACTCGTTTCTAAAAATGCCAGACAAGCTTCCAACATCTGCACACTCAATAGCAATCAGCGAAGCGTGCGGCTCGCGGTCTTAAGAGGTTCTGTCCATCATGGCGCTGGCACTGTAAACCTATTTGGGTGGAGAGCTTTTAGAGCCGACTGCGGGCCCTGCATCGCTGCAATCGCCAGAGAACACTCATCGGCGGGGTGACAGGGGTGCATCTCTTATCAGCGCAGAAAGCCTATTGTCCAACCATGGGAGAGCACAGAAAGCAATTAGCCAGCAGCCCCCCTGAATAATAATGCGAGTTCATTACCTATTATCAAAGCCAGTGAATTAGCTCGGTGTCTCCAGCAGTGGGGTGTGAAATCCTCTCGCCAGCTTTATTTGCTCATTTTAATTGCCCGAGCTTGTCTGACTAAGAGATTTCACTTTTATGCACATAAAAAGGTAACAACTTTCAGCTAATGAAACATAGATGATAGATTAAAGAAGTTCGCTTTGGAAACATTAACATGAAAAGCGTCGGATTGCAGCGAAGTAGGTTAGACGCGGGGGCTCGTCTGGCGTCAAGCGCAACCTGCTTGTCAAGTGCTTTTTGTACATCAGTCAATCAGATTATAAACAATAGGAATTAACTTCTAAAAGAGCGGCAAGCTTGCCTGAACTAACTCTAGCAGTCCAATGTTCTTATATCTATCTGATGGGCAACTATTTGAGATGTAGGACCAAATAAAAAATGAAAAAATAAATCTAGCCCTTTAGAATTTATTAAAATGGTTGTCAAACAAGCTAAAGAAAGCTTGAAGAAAAGAATACTAACTAATTTTACTAAGAAATGTTTAAATAATAAGTTATGTTATTGTAAAATGCACATTCATTCATTCATTTTATTTTATTTTAGAAGTCGCCACAGCAAAATGCACCTGGAGGAAACCCACGCCAATACGGGGAGAACATGCACACTCCACACTTATTTAACGTTAAAACAGGGTTTCTACAGGTTTCATCAAGTCAAATTTAAGACTTTAAGAGCTTTTAAGACTATTAAGAATGAAATTTCAGACTTACACAGGGCTTAATGATAATGACTTTTCTAATGGCCCAGTTAAAATATTAAAAAAACATTAAAAACAAATGTTATTGTAAGAAAGATAATTAAAGCATATAATTATAAATATAAATCGAGCTAATAAATAAACTGCTTTTAAAACCTTTATTGAGATGAAAAGTTAGTGATTGAATGGGTATTGGTCGGATTGGGTAGCTTTACTTGGACAGAGGAAAATTAAGACCCGTTTAAAATCATTTAAGACCTACAACACTAATTTAGTGAATTTAAGACTAAGGCCTAAAGTTTTTATTTTGAAATTTAAGACTTTAAGACCCAGCGGACACCCTGAAAAACCTACTATTTTAAATTTCATATATCAAGTTTTTAGTTACAATACTCCCAAAGTTATTCCAAAAAATCTGCAGATTTTTGTTCAGAAAAAGCAAGAAATGTACGCAGAATCTGTCTGGCCCTGCATATTGCCTATATACTGATATACCCTCTAAATCCAATTAATATTGAATACAAAAAATTACTATAAATAAATATTTCAAAAAGGTTTATTCAGTATTAAAATGATTGTTCAGTTTTAGCTAGTTGTTTATTAGCTCACAAGTCGGCTGTTTACTAGCATTTACAATGCCCACATTGATGCCTTATTCTGCATAACCACGTTCTCCATCCTAATAAATGGCACAGACTTTGTGAAGAAGCTTACACTCACAGGCAGGCACAAACTGAATCAGCACGCTCGACACTGAATGCTAATTTATTAATTATTTTCGATTATTCAACAATGCTTTCAGCCACCAATTAAACTGAAGCACTCTCAGGCTCTATAAGCTGCACACAAAATCTCCATCTGGACTTGGCCCACGTTCGTGCCTAAACCATCTGATGGGACGGTCCAAGTGTAAAACTCACTCTGTTGGTTGTAGGACTGCTCAAACACAGTCTTGTAAAGGCTGCGGAAGGAGGCACTGAGATCTTCGAATTCAGAGAAGAGCAGCTGTTTGTCGCGATCTGGTATGCTGTACTGGGCCTGGGGGGCCTGCTGCAAACTCATAGACTGGGACACCGACTCGGGATGACTCGTCACCTAAAGAAAGGAAAACAACAAAGGCAAGATTTACATCCTAATATCAAGCAAATATATATATATATATATATATATATATATATATATATATATATATATATATATATATATATATATATATATATAACATCCTCATATGTGTATAATGGGCATGCATTTTCATCAAACTGTTTGTGTGGGTTACACTGGTATTAGTAACTTAGTATACAGAAACACACCATTAGTGGAAACAGCTGATTAATCAAATCAGTTTTATGTTCGATACATCAGAATTTATTTGGCAAATGTTTCCATCTATCATTATTTGCATTAACACTTGTTAGTTAAGTCGTTAACAAACTCAAGTGAGCAAACATTTTTGAAATTGCATCACTCGTTTCTAGGGATGTAACGGTATCAGAATTTCACGGTACGGTAATACCTCGGTATGAATGTCACGGTACGGTATTTATTGAATCATTTACATGAAAAACAAAACTTATGAAAATACTCCAAAAAAGTGCCAAAAGTGTCAATGGCATACAAATTAGCCATCTATCTGTAAGCTTTGAAACAGGAACTTCAATTTTAATAACAAAAAAATATTAAACCATGTAAAAAAAATAAAGTTTCAATTTAGTATTGTTGAAAACTCATCACATTCAACATTTAATCACTCACTCACTTACTTAGATAGAGATGGGCTTTAAGGAAAATTATCTTATAACTATAATCTGGTAAAGGCTGGCATCTCTGGGTATTTACAATGTCCCCTGCAACAGAAAAAAAAACCTCTCCTTTGGGACTGAGGTTTCTGGGACAGAGAGATATGACTTGGCCCAGGTTGACAGCAGTGGGTAACGTTGTGCATTGTCTTTTCCCCACTTGAGAGGACAAGCCATGACTGAGATAGAGGTCTCATGTCTGCATCAATCTGAACAGTGTGCTGTGTTTCTGCAGTCCCCATGACTGATTATTAGTCGTATTCCCCAACTTGCAGGCACGTGCACACACAGGGCTCAGACTGTGCAGTGCACATGCCATTTTTAGTCTTGGATAGAAAGTGCCCTTCCAAAATGATCAAAAGTGCCCCCGCGACGCAACACACTCTCCGTCCCGCCCTTCAGTAGGCGCGCGACAACAACGCTCTTGAGTATGCGCGCTCAACCCCCCTCTCTGCTTTAAGCAGGTCGCACACCAGAAGCGCCGCTCGGCGCCGCGACACGGCGCGCACATGACAGTTTAAAGTATCACACACCAGACGCGCACATTCGAAGGATATTTAACATGAAACTAATCAGATGGCGCTCTGTGGCGCGGCTGAAAAATGAACTGCGTCCAGAGCCGTCGCCGGGCGCCGCCGACTTGCGGTGCCGGTGTGTGTATCCTGATAGAAACCTATGTTTAGAATTCTAAAATACATGGGGCTGCGTGGCGCTGCGCGGCCAGCCGCCGAGCGGCGCTTCTGGTGTGCAACCTGCTTTACAGTACGCGCGCGACAACACTGCTATTCAGTACGCGCGCGGCGACAACACCCGCTTTAGGTTTCGATCATCTCCAGCTCTTTTTCATCCCCGCTACTAGAAGCACACTCCATTTCCGCATCACTGGATCTGTAGTGACAACAGACCGCAAAGGATTATAGCCACGCCTGGGCTGATGGGAAATGTAGTTTCAGCTACCTCCCGTTCGCTTTATTCGCCTGAGCAAATTTTCTCAGAAGACCTATAGTTTTACAGAGTCATGCGACAACGGTAATATCGAAAAAAATTAATATTGCGGTATGACGGTATTTACAATTTTAATGTATTTTGTTGGAATTCGCTTGTTAAGTTGAGACTTGTGAAATACTGTTACACATTTGAATTGAGAAAATAATCATTTATGACCAATTTTTAGTCATATCACACATTACAGTGCATTTTATATAAAATCTTGGTGTACACTACAGTCTCTGGACTTGCTGTATCACAGACGCCAATATTTTGACAATTGAAAAAACGTAACCACTTTCTGGCCACCTGATCACAGACATGGTGGCTATATATATTGCGATTGTGATTATCGAAATTATTATATCGCTTCGTAAACATTTATTATTACCATTTGTTGAGCCTCTGCATACAGTTGTATATAGACCATTTTGAGGGATGTAAAACAAAAACAATGGTCCCAACATATTTCCTGCATTACATTTTTTATTTCTTTTTCATGGGCCAATGACATCACCACATTAACATGGTCTATAGTGATTGGACCTGGAAGCCGATTCGTATTATGTCACACTTAACAAGCGAATAAAGGACGTTATCGGCGTCATTACATCCTATGGTACTCTTGCGGAAATCAGGTTCATGGATGAGCTAATGTGTTCAAAACATATTATGGTAGCATGAAGCGGAATAAAGCTTTTGAAATTTAGAAGAGTCTAGAGCCTTGAAGCAATTGGAATGCAGAAGAGCTTTTATTATGCAACAGTCAACAGATTTCGGCTCTTTCAGTCATGATCACTTGAAAAAGAAGCAGCACTATTTTAACATACTGAATACAATTTAGGGTTCTGTTATAATGCTGCTTTGTGCAGTTTAATAAAACACATTACATATACACAAGTACTATACACAAGTACATCATAGTGTAGCTAGATACTGAATTTTCAGTACTAATGAGTAAAGAAATAAAAAAAAAACATCAATTTCTCGCTAACATTCAAGCGCTGTCCTTAAACACCACTGACATTTTGTTCACGTGCGGTGAACTGATGACGCCCAATTACAGTCATTACTGTTGAGCACGTGAACACAATGGCCTATCAGCGGTGCTCAAAAACATGATCAGCAATGCTTAAATGTTAGTGAGAAATTAACACTTTTAAAATGTAAGTAGATTGGAACTGAAATTCAGTATTGTGACAAAGCTACATTCTAATGTTTTTTTATTTAATATTTTAATAAACAAATTTTACTCACTGAGCACCAATAAGCACCCTATGCAAACCCCTTCTTATTCACAACATGGGTCTAAAATGAAAGATTCATATACGCTATTTAAATCATGACTGAATGTCTGTTCTGTATCTGACAGATATACATTTTCCAATGTATATTAAAGAAATTCTCTAAATACCTTATTTTTGATATCCATAAACTGTAGCAATATTTTTTTAGAAGGTTTTCCTAAATTAAATGATCACATTTACAAATTTGAGTTAAAAAAGGTCATATCATATATTAACTACACTGTATATTAAGCTTTTAAATTGTAATGAAGTAAAGTGATAAATAAAGTGAAATGCTAAATACCAATGCGAAAAATATGCATGCACTGATATGGTTTGTAGATGAAAGTGTTAAAACTGGGTGACGGAAGCGCAGCTTATGACAAAAATCCACCTTGCCAGTGTAAACGGTGGCAGCGCAGCTCAGCCGGGCCCAGTGACCGGCAGATTAGAGCTCAGATAGAACATGACAGCACTGACTACAGCACTCAGCGTCACAGCACAGGAAATGAACTGCCTGACACACTGCAGCACAATATGCAGGAGCACAACGCTTGACCGTTTATTTACGAGCACGGCTGAATCTCTACATAACCACGCAGCCATGATCAAAACAGACACGTCTCCTGAGAGGCTCTCTGAAGTTGTTTTTACGGCTGTTTATTCTGTAATTAACAGCTTGGCGAAACTAACTCAGAAATCGACAACGAGATCATAAAAGCTCGCCTGCAAAAAAAAAATAAAAATCAGGCATTGATCCATAAAACAAATCCTTCTAATGATAAATATCCGGCTAAACTGAATACAGTGCGGGTTTGCCTATCGAAAGGAATTAGCTTGCGTGTCTAAACTCAAAAAGGGATCTGCTCGCTGTTTTGAGTCTGAAGAGATGCCTTTCGTGCCCAGAATGAGTGATTCATTGAATGGCTCCCAAGGCCTCCATAATGCCGAGCATATTTGTGGCGTACACAAGGGCAGAGGCTCTGCCATGTCTAGCTCAAGACAACAGTGTTTCACAGACTGGAGAGGCTGGCAAAACAGTCATCTGCCACTCTGAACAAGTCTAATTTGAGCTGTCGTTGCAAACTGCTGAGGGGAAATTTATGTATCCGAACACAATCACAAAGCTACTGGCAAACAAATCCTGTGAACAGATCATTGTTAGTGGAGTTTTCATAGGTGTCTTCCTCTGATGATTGGCCAACGCAGCATATTACAGAAAAGTGTATCTTTTAGAAATCAAAAACACTGTTCAGTCACAAAATGTTTAGTCATTATCGAATTTAAATTTCATTCATAGGTTGACAGAAAACAAGATTTGTATGTACTGAAAATTTAATCAGATAAATAACATTTTATAATAATTATTTGGCAGTAGAAATACACTGAAATGGAACTTCAAGCAATATAAATATTCAGTCAGAGTGCTGAATATATATTTATTTATAACTTAAAATATATTCAAGAAGTAAAATAAATATATTTTATAATATATATATTTTTTATTATACGATCACAACCACAAGGCTGACTATTTTCCTTTTGTGTATTTAGCCATTACAAAATGCCAATTATTTATAGAGGTGCAAAAAGTTATTTAACATTAGTTTTGTTTTATGCACATTTTGGAATATTGCATAAAATGCTTAATGGAAATGCTAAATTGGCATACATTTTTAAAATGTGCGTATAAAAATGCACTAAAAAATGTTCATTCATTCATTCATTTATTCATTCATTCATTTTCCTTCAGCTTAGTCCCTTTATTCATCAGGGGTCACCATAGCAGAAACAACCGCCAACTAATCCAGCAAATGTTTTACACAGAGGATGCCCTTCCAGCTGCAACCCATCACTGGGAAGCACCCATACACACTCATTTACACACATACACTATTTTAGACGCCATTTTAGTTCATTCAATTCACCTATTGAGGATCGAAACCGCATTACCCGGAGGAAACCCACGTAAACAAGGGGAGAACATGCAAACTCCTCACAGAAATGCCAACTAACCCAGCCGGGGCTCGAACCAGCGACCTTCTTGCTGTAAGGCGACAGTGCTAACCACAGAGACATTGTCACCCTACATAAAGATATCTATAAAATGAATTCCAGTATGGCAATCAAAAAAGATGTGATTTTGTTATAAGCACTCACATAATAACAAAACGAGGTGTAATGGTGTGACAAGATAGCGTTAGTGGACAAACCAGCAGAGAGACAACATTGTAAAACATCTGAAATTTGTTTTGGTCATTCTAAAAACCTGTCTGATCAAAGCGGTTTGGTATTATTCCAGTTTTGAGCACAATTTAAATTGGCATCTTTGGATGGAAAATAACTAATGCTATTAAGTTTTTGGTTATACAAGATTACCTAAGAAAAATTAGACAAGAGTAAATGCAATCTTAAAAAAAGCACCACAGGATTAACACAACCAACAAAAGTAAAACCAAATCAAACTATTCATAAAAAAACAACAGTTATTCAATGATGCCAAACACAACCCTGATCTGCAAATTACCATGCACTACCAATATAGATCAAAATGAAGTCGCAAACTCGAAACTCAGGCCCCGTTTACACTAATACGTTTTAGTTTTAAAATGCTGTTTTAGAACAGGTAAGGTTCACGTCTACAATGCAATTTTTGAAAAGATCTCGGTCCACACTACACTGCAGATAATGCACATCACTTCCACTATATTTCATCTCACTAGTTGGTTAACGAGATATATAATTCATCTAGTCTCTAACGACTCTTTTGTCTTTTGAATCTATAACCTGTTCTCATGTAATGTGTTTTGACTGACCACAATGATAAGTTTATATATTAATTAATGTAAAAGCGTACACTGATTCTGCATATTGACTGATTGCTTGCCTTTATTTCTTATTCTTTATTTATTGTGTAAACTTATTGTATATGTTACAATTTTATAATGGCCATAATTTATTATTATAACTAATATTCAGCAAGAGACAGAGTATGTTTCATATTTTTCAATGAAAATGAATGGAGGGAGTTTTGTTATAGGCTCCGTTTAATTGCCTAAATATGCACAAAGTGAAGATGACACTAATATAATATGTAGCCTCTGGAGTTTGTTTTCCATATCAAACTTGCGAAGTCTGAACTTACAAGGAAAGGATGAAAGACTGAACTGCACTTAATTTGGAGAAAAAGTCCCAATCAGAGACCCTCCAATTGGCCACACTGACACTAAGCAGCATCATTTTAAAATGCAAACAGCCTCTTCAGTGTTTTTAAAATGCTCCGTTTTCTGGGTTAGGAAACTCTGTGGTAGTGTGGACAGGAGTAACTGTATCAAAAGTTATACGTTTTAAGCTGAAATGTATTAGTGTAAATCGGGCCTCAATTGCAAAATGACAAGCGCAGGAAACACTAGTTAGCGCTATCAAAACAAATAACCAATGCATAAGGAAAGACCTGCTGGCATGCTACATTAGCAGCAGAGACTAATTGCACACAAGAAATATGAGCGGTGGGAGTCGGATGACACACTATGCATCACCATAAAGATGGGTGCACATAATCTGGTTACATTCAAACAGACTACAGCGTTCAAATCAGCTGGATGGAGCAGAAAATGAGAGACAGAGAGAGCGCTTGAAAGAGAGCGAGAGACCGAGCATTGTCTGGCCCGCTCAAGTGAATCTATCAGTGTCTGTGCCGGATCAATGCTGAGAGCCTGGAGCGAGAAGCATGCGGGGCTTCTGGGGGACCACAACAAAGCAGCGGCTCCTCTGGTGGGAGGACATCAGAGGCAGCGTCTCTCTTTAGCAGCGCTCCAGCAGTACCAGCTCTGCCTTTCATTCCCTTAACCTCGGTGTCAGCGTGCTCCCATGCACACAGGCCTCCGTTTCTCACAGATTCTGACGAACGCATTGCTGCTTCTCATAAAGCAAATTAAGAGCTCTGCTACAGGTTCAGGAGAGGCTAAAGAGAAAGACTGACTGGTGGCTGTGGATTGACTCTTACCGGTGTGTAGCTGTGAACGCTGCCCACGCTGTTGAGATTAACAGAGGCCAGACTCTGGTCGGAGAGGCTATTGTTAAGGCTGCTTCGAGGGCTGTCGCTCCCATCCTGGTCAGGGTTGTACAATGCCACCTGGAAATCAGAAAAGGGAAAAGAGTCAATGGCTTAGAAGAATGTCCATGATAAAAACCAAGATGAAAACATGCGTGCGGGTGTTTTTAGATGTGGCCGCTGCTGTTTTAATTTTATTTTGAACAATTGTGAAAACTGTATTAATCAATAATTGAATAACTCCAGCAGTGAAGTCATTTTTCGGGACTTACTATATTAATTATTCTTAAAATCGTCCAACAGAGTACAGAGTTTTCGGGACTTACATAATGTTCAAATTGATGCTTATTTGTCATATATAGATGGATTGAATGCATTTACATATAATCTATATACAAATAAAGAAAATTTAAATAGTATATTTTGCAATATGGAATATATTCAAAAGATTTAAATATATATATATATATATAAATATATATATATATATATATATATATATATATATATATATATATATATATATAAACATTGTCTATTTTGTTCAAATGATCAAGACAGTTGCATAACGATATGACAAAATAATAAAAAATCTTACATTGATAAAATGAACCTATTACAGCGCTTCCCACAAATTAACTTTACTTAGATAGGCCGCCAAGGTATATTAACGGCCGCCCAAGTATATTTGATGACATTTTTTTTTTTTTTACCAATATTATCATCCTTTTACACTTTTATTGATTTCACCCAAGATAATCAAACATCCGGGTTTAATTAAACAGTGGAAAATCTTCTCTCGCCCTACACATTTTGTAATGCTCATTGTGTGCACGCGAGAATGGTCACCAACACTTCCTCAGACAAATTTTCAAATGTCTGGGCTACGACTTTTGATTTTGTTTGTTAATTGTATCCATTTTTGCATTACACTTTTATAATCCCACATGGCTTTAGCTGACAGTGTGCACAACTGAGAGAAAAAGTAAGAAAGTAAAAGTAATAGATTCTTTAATTTAAAAGATTTTTTTAAAATTACTATACAGGGAAATTCAAAAAGAATACCAAAACTTTCGGGTTGATGTCACTCGAGTGTCTGGAGGGGGTCATTTTGAACATCTATGCACTTGTATTCTACTGAACACTGCACTTGTACTCCTCACATTGATTAATTACCCAAGGTTCCATCATGTTTCTTAGATTAAATACAGATTTTCAAAGTTTTTTAATTACCCTGTATACTCAGGAGAGGACAAAATGACATCTAAACTGGCTGCAAAATATATGTACACCATTAGAAATGGTCAATCAATGGTCAATCAACTCATTTGCCTTACTTAAATAATATTCAGTTACATACAGTATATGTTTTTAATTTGATGATGTTAATACATTACATATTTTATGCATATCCAAAATGCTTTGGCAACCCTGTTCTAAATGTCAGGCCAATAAAGCAACCTGAACTTGAGAGAGAGAGAGAGAGAGAGAGAGAGAGAGAGAGAGAGAGAGAGAGAAAGAGAGAGAGAGAGAGAGAGAGAGAGAGGGAAAGAGAGAGAGAGAGAGAGAGAGAGAAAGAGAGAGAGAGAGAGAGAAAGAGAGAGAGAGAGAAAGAGAGAAAGAGTGCAGATGCCTCCCAGCTAGCATTGAAATAAGAGAAAATAGGGATTTCTTTTTGTATTTTAACATTCTTTTTTAAATCTTTAACCCATTGAAAAAAAACTGTCATAACAGTGTCAAAATAAATTAAAATATTGTTAAAAATCACATTATTTTTGGTTTAGACGTAAACAATTTATGTGCCGTGGGTAAAGAATGTGTTTCAATCTGGCCACCACCACAAGTATATTTCAAACCTGTGGGAAGCACTGCATTATAAATGTAAACTTATCACAGCTTTTTTTCATTTGTTGGTTTGTTTTGCATTATTGATGTGGATTTCCAATATTTTTTGGCATTTTAATGATATGTAAAAAAGGCAATATTTGTAATTAAAAAATAAAGGAAATTAAGATAGATGGTGAATTCAGGTAACTGCACTTCATTACATTTTAATATACTTTAATTCACAGGTACAAACAAACAAACAAAAAAATGCTTTGGTATTTCACTTGTTGTCAGGTACATTCCACAGGTTAGTTGTAGATATGACAATGATAAGTCTCTGCAGCACAGATACCACATGGGTGGTGCTGAGGGAAAGGAGCCAACCAAAGAGAATCCGTCTGGTTTAAGAGGTCTGGAGGGGAATTCTCAGCCCTCTGCATAACTGTAATAGCAACACAACAGACGGCTGCGTCATAAATGTGACGTGTGGCATGCGAACACCACACTGTCTGTACAAGAGTAAGGTCAACATTAATGTGGCACACCCCACACTGTGGCTCATATGGAGGGAGAGCGTGGCTGGTGGCCAGCAAGATGATCTGCTGTCTCAGACAGGCTGAGAGGGGAGAGCTCTCCTTCAGTAAAGGTCACGATGCTGGCAGCGTTGAAACCGTCAACTTGCACAGCGCAAATTGGTTTGGGACAGCTCACAAAGGTCCCGAATGCTACAGAGACCCTGACCTTTCTGCGTGCGCTGTTGAATGCGCAGTTTTCCGAAGCGGAAGAACCTCCACTTCAAAATGATAATCCCAATTATCATTTGAAAAGCTGAACTGCAAATATGTGCTGGTTGCAAAACGAAAATAAATAAGGCAATGGAGAGATGGTATGGGGAATGAATATAATGAGCTCCTGAGAGAATAGTCCTACATTGAGTTTGCGGTGGTAGGAAAGGATGAATGGAATCGCAACAATGCTGGCCGTGCTCGCATCACACGCCGCATGTCTTGGCAGCAGCAGCGCAGTGCTAAAACCACGCAACAAGTCCCAAGATTCACCTGCTTCAGTAAGGATATACAGAGGCTTTCATGCAACACTTAACAGGTAGTTCATGGAACTGAAAATGAATATTTGGTCATTGTTTCATTTCCATTTAATCATCCCAAACTCCCCTAAGGTACAGTTGTGTTAATTAGCATTCGTCAGCATTAGTTGATTCTGCAGTGTTTTTTTCTTGAAATTCTTATTTGGTAAAATCCGGTCATTTTACCAGGAATGTCAGTTTGGTTGAAAAGTGGCTTTGAAGCTTCCTTGTATTATTCAATGTTGCTAACAATGAGAAATTTGAACACAAAATGTTTCTGTAAATGTAATGGCTCAATAACCTATTATAGGCCTGATAAGAATAATAAAAGAAAACAATCAGCCATTAAATTGTGGGTTATTTCCGCCAGCTGGTTCATTTCACATGCATGCTACTGGCCATGAGGATATTGACAAGTGCCTTCCCCATTACATTGCATATTACATGTAGCAAACATTTTACAGATGTTTAAGCTAGAAGAAAGCTTAAAGCTTAGAAGAAATAAGATGCCGTCAGTGGGTGAGTTTTTCCACTTTCAACTACATTAGAACAGAAAATGGTAAATTATTTTAACCAAAGAAATTTCTACATTTTAATCTACATTGTCGTTGCAGTTTAGTTGTTTTCTGTAGTTTAATTTGGTTTTAAAATTAATTCCAGAAAAAAGTGGTCCACTGTATTTGTGTGTATTGCTTTTCTAATGAGAAACAGAAAACTTTATTTAGGTTTGCATACATATTTTCAGCTTCCCAATACAAAGAGTTATCAGTAATCTGTATTGGTCAAACTTTTCATATTCATCCCTCCCTGCAACAATCATCAATGGGGATCTGTCCATCACTCACCACCAATGGGCAGCATCCACCTGGATAATCTGACAACAGAGCAAGGGTGATAGAAAATAGGTGGAGAGGAACGAGAGGATGGGGATTATTAGCAGGCCATGATTGATAAAGGCCAATGGTGGGCATTGGGCCAGAACAAACCTAACAAAATAAGCGTAACAAACCTCGTCTTAATATCTCATCTGAAGGACTGTGCTTGTTTAGAGAGTCCCTTCACCATTCTAAATTAGAACCAACAAAGACTGGACTTGCAACTCTTTCACCAACAACAAAGTTGTGTCTCCCATTGACTGACCTGGCTTAGCATAGTCTATAGATTTATACCAAGATTATAATAGTTTTGGATTTTTCAGTAGTTTTTTTTTTCAGTTTGACTTTTTGTTCTCAAATTCAGTTTTAATTAGTTTTCAGATGTAGATTCAATAGTTTTTATTAGTTTCTAGGTTTTGTAGTTGCTTAGTTTTGGTTTGTTTTTTTATTAGTTTCAGGTTTAGTTTTTTGTTTGTTTTTGGTAAATTAGGATATTTGTTAGGTGCAAGCTTTAAAATCATCAGAAAAAATATTACACAATAAAAACTCAAACGAAGATGGGCTACATTTTTTGACACAAGAACACAACCATCTACCACTACCATCTACCCATCCTCAAATTTAAGTACAACAGCCCACAGGATAATTGTGTTAACCTTCCCAAGCTTGGACTCAAATCAAAATGATGTAGCCAGCAATCATAATTTCAGTCAGTTAAAACATCACCATGATCTGAAAAGTTTCTTACTATTATGTTTTGCAACCCAACTGAAGCATGATTTACTTAAAGTTCCATAAAGACTTTCTGTTATAGACTTACGTTTCCATTGTTCTCCTTTAAAGCTTCAAAGGAAATCTAAAGGACCTCATTTGGTTCTTTTGGATTTTTAAAGGTGTACATCTTTGGATGTGAAGCTGCAAACAAAGTTCCAAAAAAATTGTGTGCTATGCCAGACAAAATCATGTCTCGTGCACCCAAAGCAAACCTTCAACAACACAACGACCATAAACCAGGCTTTAGGCTGCAGGATGGTATGGATGTGGTCCAAAAAATGTTTGAATTTTGAATAAATTGATAATAAATAAAGTTCCAAAGCAACACTGGAACTCAATGACCTTCATTGTATGGATAATGTGCAACTCAAAAGGCCACATAGTTGTTTGCGTTGCCATAAGAGATACAGCGAACGCTTCAGTTCTGTTCCCCCTTGACTCAGCACGACAGCAGTTAGAAAGACACATTACAGATCACGGTCTCTTACAGAGAATTACCATTCAAGCAGAATAAATGTTTCCCAATCCTATTATTCCCTGTTCATCAAAAGAGCGGAGCAGAATGGTTGCTGGAGCCGCACTGGATTGAGGGTGGATAGGGGGTTAATGTCATGGAATGATTTGCATATTATAACTCTCCCCTCTTTTAGCTATGTTTAGCCCTAGAAACAGTACATTACCAGAACAACTAACCCTGTGCGCAACTAAACACAGAAAAGCTCAGGCATGTCGAAAATTCAATCACGCAGAAAAAATAACTGTTACAATTATAATCAAAACCCGGTGTGAAGAACAAGTATAAATGTTATGTGTAATTAAGTCATAAAAGAGGCTTTTAGCCGTGAGCCTTTCACCACAATCTATTTTTACTCCCTGTATCCATAAAGTATGATTTAAAGACCTCATCACACCGTGGTTTGTTCAAGGCCCAAAATGTAGACGCCTACATACTAACACTGTGCAAGTCCACACACACACACGAACAGTGGGAAAGTAACACGCAGAGAGAAGGTAAGGGGTGAACAAATCCATTGCAAATACTCTTGTGTGTTTGCTGCGGTGGAAAAGGAGCGCTATATTTAGCTGTGAATTAAAGTCAAAAGCCAGTGGAGTCTTTCATACAGGCGACTAATCTGCAGCATGAGACAAGGATTATGAAATCAAAGAGAAATCCACCCAGGTGTCTCTAACAATAACTCGCATTCAAAAGAAAAAAATCCTACTTCAATGCAATTTAAAAACAATATTTGCAGGAAAGAAAAGAAAGAAAGTGAGAAAAAAGGTTTAAAAAGTACAGCTTGTTTCAATTCAATTAGTTTTTATGTAACAAATAATACATTTTAAATGCATTTAAATATGACTAAATATAATTAAATCACACAAAATCATATTTGCTTTATAACTTGAGTTGTAAATTGAGAGTGAGCTATTCTTTATATAATAATTACAAAAATATAGACATTCAAATTATTTAGATTTATTTTAAACCGTACAACACGCTCTATTAAATATTTATTTAAATGCATTTAGCAACATGCTTCTTGTTAAGCAACAAAGTCTGAAAACTGATTTGTCAGCTATAAATTAGGTCCCAAACGCATCTTTCATTCCATTTAAATCAAAAGCTATCTAAAATAATAAACATGCACTATTTTCAACATTTAAAAAACTGATTGAGCACAGACAAACAGCAAAAAATATATGTTCTAAGATTTGTCATTTCCAGTCCAAGTTAAATCAAAAGCATTTTCTAAAAAAAGTGTCTTGTTTTAAGAAATAATGTCAAAACTAAGTAAGTTTTTTTCTTAGCAAATAACCTAAGCAAATTACAGTAATCTGACAAAGTGGTAAGCTAAATAATCTGTAATTGTAAAGATTTAAATTTTAAAAGATTTATTTATCAAATTTTGTGACAGTAAATAAGAGAAAAAAAAGTAAAAGAGGAAGTATGTAACAGTACAAAATTGATTAAAAAATAAAAATAAACCACACTATAACCAACATTTTGTACAACAAACAGTATATGATGTGTAAACTTTATATGATGTGCATTCATTTTACAAATTAAGCATATAAACAGGTCAGTACCGAAAGTTGAGGTCGGCAACATGGTACAGACCATTTCAATGTGGTCATGAACACTTCCTGCTTGTTATCAAACTATTTCATAACTATAACAATTCAGTTTTAACTGCATGTTAAAACAGCTCTCATAACATTATTTAACAATATGTGGCTCTTTTTATATTTTCTAAAAGCTATAGAAGTTAAAAATGTAAAACAGGAAATGTATTGGGACCGTTGTTTTGTTTACATCCCTCAAAATGGTCTATATTAAGTAAAACAAATAATGATAATAAAAGAAAAAAGAAAAGAGAGAAAAGGGGAAATATGTGGTTATAAAAACAGATAATTATGATAAAATAGGGTGTAATGTTCTTCAAACCTAAACTTTAAGAAAGTGTAATATGCTTGTGCTTTACCAGCATTAGTAGTCAAGGTAGACAAGATAGCAGTCAAGGTAGACAAAATGCAAGATGGGAAAGCATTTAATCTACAGTAACTGCTTCAAGTTTCAGAGATTTAACATGTTCCAATGATGGCGCAATTTCTGCCTTATTGCCAGATTGAGCCTCTTTTAAGGAAAAATAAATAAAAAAATAAATTAACTTACATTTTAGCAGATTATTTCTTAAAACAGAAAATATATTTGCTTGTCTAGAAAATGCTTCTTGATTTAAGAACTTTAAGATATTTGGACAACAAACAAGAAAAAAAAAATTCTAAGTAGGAATTTTTTTTTGCAATGCAAGTATATGCTAACATTTTATTTTCTACCTTTAACTGTATAGAAGATACACGAGTGTGCAGATTTCATCTCCTTCTGCTCAGTGAGAGAGGGAAAAGCATTTTATGATGATCAATTAGTCAGAGGGAGAGAGAGAAAGAGAGAGAATGCTCAGTCGCAGCCAGGCTTTTCCTTCATGTTATGCAGCACAGCCATTCTACTATTGGTCTGAGCAGGCAGGCGGGAAAGTATGAGAAGAAGGGAATTCCTGTGGCTTGGCATGAAGTGCCCGAGAGGCGTGGCGTGTTCTCTGTTTACAGGGCCCACACCGAGAAACAGCATCTCCAAGGAGCCACCGAACTCTGTCTTCTTGTTTTTTGCTCTCCCGCATGTTTGGTTTCTAATCTATCAGCGTTTCGAGTAGGAGGGCAAAGAAAGCATATGCTCATGGGATAACCTCAAAATCCCTCACTGGGTGGTTCTTGAAATTCTTCCCATATGAATCAGTCATACCTTATGCTTGCATTGTTTTGGTGTGTGTGAAATGTTCTAAAAGTGGAACAGTCCTGGAAGGTGTGCTGAAACAACAATAATACATTACAACAAAGTGGATTACAGTTTATCACGCTGATATATAGGTTGTGTTCCAAAGCCTAGGGACTTTTATTAGAAGAAACATACTTCGTTTTGGTCAACATCACATTTGCCAAGAATACTGGATTGACAGAAATGTCTTTTTATTCCATTTAAATCTGTGACAGTTTCAAATTGGTCACATACATTTGGTTCTATTTGAGATGATAACTGTGTCTTGCAAAAGCCATGTTGCAACATACACAATACTATATACACCCCATAACTTAACATAATCAGATCTGCTTATACTGTATTCTATCCAGCTAAAAATCTCACCAAACTTTCTATAATTCAATCCAAATGAATTCCACATTCCCCCCCTCGGTCCTCATCTTAAACACCATGCTTAATGTGAAATACTATTGGTTTAATGCCTGAAGTAAATTAATAACTGATGCTTTTGGGCTTTGTAAAAGCACTCCAGAGAGAGCGCGCAGCCTGAACTGGGCCAAGAGTGGAACGCTTAAGGTTAAAAAGCCCATTTAAATTTCAGAGTGTTTTGCTCCATTCCTTTTTACACACTTCTCCATGAAGTCATGCCACGGAGGACGAGTTGTGAAAAGAGTCACTGCGGGTGCTCTGTCTAGAAGCATACAGCAGGTAAGCAGACTTACAAACGTTGAACAAACTCACCGTTCTCTAGCAGAAAAGCATTTATCACCATGATACAAGCTTTTCAAGATGCAGCGCAACCTTTAATGCAATTTAACTTTCACTTTAAAGAAATATTCCGAGATCAGTACATGTTAAACTGCCTGTATTTAATTCACCACACAGAAAAAAGCCCATTTTCTTGCATTGTATAAAGGAGAGCAAGCAGTCATACTCAAGTCATGCAACTTTCTCTTGGTCAAGGTGAAATCTGAGGGATCTGTTTTATTTATTGGGTCGTTTATCAAGATGTTTGCTTATTTAGTGTGCGACAAATGGAAATTGGGTTGTTTGTGAATATTAAGAGGATTCCATACAGCAATTTAATATAAAAATCAAATACTTCAGCTATAATTAAACAACAGTCCACACAAGAAAAAATAAAACAATGAAGAATACCGTATCCTTGCACAGCTTAATATTTTGTGTAGGCGGAAACCTGTCATTTCTGAAATTGACGGACATATAGAATAAGGTATTAAATATTTACAATACACCACACATTCACTATTAATAGGATTTGCATACATGACGCCTGTCCAATAGAGTCGGTTTTCTTAGGCGTGTATTCAAACAAAAGCCTCACATATCAGTTCTGTTACGAAGTACATGCACATAGCCATGAAAGAACAAACAGAAAATAAAAACTGGGTATGTAGGCTGCTGGAGTGAGCCGCGATAAGAGAAACACAGCCAGGACTAGTGCAGTTGGAGATTGAACGCTACCTTGTTAGTCACAGTGTTGATTGCCAGCGTTGGAGAGGCACTTCCAGAGATGATGCAGTCCATTCCCAAGTTATCCGACTCCAGGCTGTACGGCGTGGACGCCTGCAGGAAAGCGCAAAAGAAAAAGACATGTTCAGCCGACCGGGATGGAGATGATGAGCAATGTGAAGTGACTTTGATTTCCATTCAAAGGCCTTTGATATTACTCTGGTGGCAGAAATTTAAAAAGCATATGCAGCGAGCGTTTATCGACAACAAAAGAGCAACACCTTTTATTTAGGTCAAAATTGGAGGCATTCTGGGAAAAGAGATGAGCAGGAGAGAGGAACGGCTCCCCGTGCTCTCTCTGGGGTAAAAGATAACTTCGGCACGCCTGTCTCCCAAAACTGCTTATTATAAGAGGATTGCCTGGCAACAATGCGATTTTTAATTTGTGATAAACATAAATGAGATTTTGCTAAGTCACAATTTTTAATGTCAAAGAAATTCTTAAAAGAGACAGCAGGAGGATATGAGAGAGAGAGAGAGAGAGAGAGAGAGAAAAGAGAGCGAGCGACTGTATGTCTAATGAAATACACTCTTAATAGCAAGCGTCACACTTTGCACCAACAGAATTTCCACTTATTTTTCATGCAGGATCAGGCTGCGAGAGAATGGATCTAATTGGAGGTTTTTGATGTGAGTGAAGTGAGTGTCAGTTTGAAAAATGTTTGTGTGTGGCCTGAGGGCAGAGCCGTGTGCTGAGAGAATGATACTCTCACTGCAGTCTGGAGTGTGGCAATTATAAACGACACCAGTCTAACAGCCTGACCATACAGAAGAAAACACTCGCCACCGACTACACACACACACACACACACACACACAAGGTCAATTAGTCTATCAGAATAAGGGTTTTTCCTCGCTCAAAATGAGGTGGAGTTGAAATCCCAATCAGATTTGGAGCAAAAGATAAATATATTTTTTGCTCAGTATTTGATAAATTAGCTAAACTATCACAAGCGCAATCATGCTATGTTTGAGAAAACAACATTCTAATTAGGGCTGGGCCGATAACCAATACTATTTTTGATATTATTAACGATTTATTATTGAATCACGATAAAATTTGCCAATATCAATGATAAGCTCTGGACTTTTTTTTTACTCTATATTGATCTAAGAGCCAATCACATAGCAGAAATGTGCAACAATGGAAATGTTAAAGTGTGCTGACATTAGAGATATCTTGAATTTTCAGACACTAATAATTTATTGTCTGAAGATATGTTATTAAATGGTCCCTCTAAATTGTTTTGGCTTCAGTCATTGTTGGTTTACTCTTTTAAATCTGAAGGCATTGACAACTTGTATCGAAATATATATCGTTATCATTCAATATGGAAAATAATTATCAAGATTGCATTTTTGCCATATCGCCCAGCCCTAATTCTAATCCGCAAATACATTATTCATTATCTACAGAGATAACTTACATATATTTTAAATGTTTTAGTATCAACTTTACTGTACACCAATGCATTGTTGCAATATAAACATTTAATGGGTACCTTTAATGAGATAAATAGTTTTAATTACAGATTTATTCATACATTTATGAACAAACATAAAAATTAATAAGAATTTGTAATGTACTGCAAATTTAGCTAAATAATCCCCAACAAACACAGACTAACAAAGCTTATGTACATGACTGAAAGGCTTTTCTGAGTAAATGTAATGGTATGTGCCATTATTTAGAACATGCAGATCAAACACTGATTGATTACAAGAGAAAAGACATTTAAATACATGTCATACTTCTCCCTTCAAAACTTGTTTACAAAGTGATGATATTGCACAATAATTAAGGGCATCAAAATAACATCTCTTAATCCTCTGTGTTTTGTCACTTAGTTGCAGTCTTTTGTCTTTCGCAAAGTTTCAGATTATGGAAGGCTAATGCACTAAATGATGTTTTGTGAAGTTCACTATGAACAGCACAAAAAAAAAAGTTTAATGAAGAATTTTTATCTGTTGTATATGAGCACTTTATCCAGCCCTCATGTGTAATTTATGTAAAACAGACACTGTCAATCAAATGTGCACTGCCAAGAATCGCTGATTAAATGTCACTGTCAGCGAGTTCTGTCCTACAAATGTTGCCAAATTTTGCCAAACTACATTTACCTGCCATCATATGACCATCACCAGTTAAGACACACAGCCTATATGTATATGCAGCCTATGAGTTATGCAAAACTCTCATTTATGAAGCAAAAAGGACAAAATAACTGGTGCTTGAGCATCACTTTGGGTCTGTCAGATAGCGATTTAAATCATAAATAAATAATGTCTGATTTATTTATGTTTAACAGAGATGTCACAAAATTTGAAGAAGGCAGACACCTCTCATTCTCTATGCAGGGAAATCCGAAGCTTATCACGTGTGCTTTCTGACATTCAGACTTTTTTGTCCAAGCTATTTAGATGCTTTTAAAGTAACAGTGCACATGGGGTGTGAAATAGCTAGGGTTGCTAAATTTAACAGAATTAAATCAGCATCACAACGTGGCTAAGTGAGAGTTTCAAATTCCACAGACTAAAGTTTAATTAAATAAATATATGCACTGCCAATGCACACGTGTACAACCCATGATGCAGTTCAGACCACGAATTTAACTCTGAAACAAGCATTAGACAAAGCCATTTGATGACAATCTATCAAAATGGTTTCAACATTTAAAATACCATTATAAAAATACCATTATTATTTAAATAAAGGGGGAAAACCCCCTCAATTAGATAACTATAATTAAGCAACATTACAAGCAAGAGTGCTGTTCTCCATATTGCACATTTGACAAATGTTGTAAATGTAAATTCCTTAATAGAGAATAATGTCACAGCTACAACCAACCATGATAGGATATGAAAACCAACAAAATTTGGAAACTTCATCTGCAAAGTCCTTGACAATATTAATATTACCATCAATAATGGGAGCAGATTTTTTTTGAGAACTCAGCCTCATGTCATGCAAAACTTTTGACTTTATGCAAGAGGACCAAAATTTGATGCCTTTTAATAAAAGCGACTTTTTCAATCTAACATTTTGTTTTTCTGTTGTGTTTGTGACTGCAATTTAGTCGCAGACTGATGCCCTTATAAATAACATGCTTCTTCACAAATGGTATTTTCCTCTATATAGCATCCTGTCATACGTCTAGATATCTTCAATCCCCACCCCTTGCTCTCACTATAGCTGAACTCTTTCGGTTGGCCTGCCTCCGATTCACAACGCAGGGGTGGACAAAATGATGCAAGATGCCTGTGAGCCAGGTCAACCTCGGAGGCCGGCATCGAGAGCAGCAGAGTTGTATATTCCGGTGAGCGTTGCTCATAAATAATGGAAGGAAAAAGCTCTGGCTGAAAATAACCGGCGCAGAAACTCTGCATTAATTGATGTTTGCTAAAAAATGACTGCAGAATGCAACGTATGTAAAGGCTGCCTGGGGCACAGTTTATTAATAAGCTGGACCCCCTCTACAAGATAAACTGAGCCGTGCCGAGTGAGACAGCTATATAAAAAGATATGAGCGCGCAATCAGCAAACCTGTGTGCTGCACGACTGTAAAGCACCGACTCAGACATGAAACAAAGCCAGTGTTCCCAACTCAGGAAATATTCAGCCATGTCTCATTCCTTTTCTATCAACACGCCAAGCCTATATTGTCACATATTTCTGGCCTCGTAAAAAAGCAAGAACAAACACAGGCAACTTCATACTAAGGTGGGCTGGTCTGCAATTTAATGCTGAAAGAAAAAAAAACGAGACTTGGGCAATATTTTATTTTGGAAAAAAGCTTCCATCTGAGTCAGTTTGACAAATTTAAGTAAGACTATGTAAACAGAAAACCTTACATATGGTATGGTTAAAGTTCATTCTTCCCAAAAGATAAAAATACATGCAATAGGCACGTGCGCTACATTGAACTAAACTACTAGAAGCTTTCTACAGAAATGTATTTTTTACTACAGGCACCCCAAATTGCTTAAATATTTTGTGAAATACATTTATGAAGCATACTGTATATTGTACAACTTATAAGTACACACTGATATATTCAGCCTTAAAGAAAGTAGCAGTTTCACTGGCTTTTCTGACAAATCAGGGCTCGCAAAACTGCTAGTCCGACATCCCGAGGCTATTATGTTTTTCAGTCATGCAACCAAAAATGAATCCACCCTGCCTGTCAGGCTATCTTAATAAGAGAAAAAATACAGTCTATTTTAATGCTTCTGCATTGTCTCACAAATTGGGTAATTATGTTTTTGTAATTTTCATACATAGAGGAGCCATTATGTTTTTTTCTTCTTCTTTATATGTATGCAGCAAGGAGTCATCCTGTATATGTTTGGATGTGTATTTGCATTTACGGGTGTTGTCAACGAACTAGCACTTTGGTACCAAGTTGATAAAAAAAAAAAAAGAAGAAAAAAAAAGGTAAAGTTAGGCCATACCAAAATTTCCTCTTTTTTCTCCAGGGATATTAAAAAATAAAAAATAAAATTAACTAATTAAAATAATTAATGCAATGCAAATGCAATTTTATTTAAAGGCGCCTTTCATGACACTCAAGATCACCGTACAGGACAGCTAGAACAATCAGTTTAAATAAAAACACAATAAAAGTCAATAGAATACAATATACATTTTTTAAAAATGCAGTCGGGTTAAAGTGAATAAGCTGTTTAATACAGATGTGTTTTGAGTTTGGATTTAAATTGTAAAAGAGTCTCAATTACGGAAAAAGTGATTTCCAAAGCTGAGGAGCAGAGTGGCTGAAAGATCTGCTCCCCATGCTGACAAGGCGGACAGAGGGGACAGTGAGGTGAATGGAAGAAGAAGACCTGAGTGTTCAAGGAAGGTGTGGCGATATGAACAAGATTAGTAAGGTATGGAGGAGCAAGATTGTAAATTGCTTTAAAAGTGAAAAGAATTAATTAATAATTAATTCTGAAAAATATTGGAAGCCAGTGAAGATGTTGTAGAATGGGTGTGATGTGACAGATCGAGGGAGTTTTTGTGATAATACGGGCTGCAGCGATTTGTACCAGTTGTAATTTATGAACAGTTTTATTAGGGAGGCCAAACAGAAGGGAGTTACAGTAGCCTAAATGGGATGTGACAAAACTATGAACAAAAATTGGCAGCTGAATGAGGTGTGAGGGAAGGATGTAAACGATAAATATTTCGAAGGTGGAAATAGAAATGAAATGTTATCTACAGCCCAAAATGGATGCCATTATAATTGTATTTAGTAAATGTATGCATTCATTTTGAGTTAGTAAATAATTGTTCTATTTGGGATACATGAACCAATTTCAGTCTACCAAAGACATAAATGTGCTTGCCCAAAAGGCTACCCGGGGATTAGAAGTTTGCAAATATATCAAATAATCTGTGACTACATTTACAAAGTACCAAGAAATACAAAGTTTTTTCCTTGCATTTTGAAAAAGTTTCACATTTACATGACAATGTTTTTAAAACGATATGGGTTGACACATACGTGAAAACGGCCAAAAAATGCTGTATTTGGCATGCCAGGTCAGTATTTGTCAGTGTCACCTTGTTAGAAAACTACCTGTATGGAAGGAATGTTTAGATAGATGAGGTACCCTAATGCTAAAACTGTGAAACCTGGATAAGCCAAGAAAATAAACCTACTCCATTTTAAATATTTTATATAAAAAATGTTTTTTTTATTGGGTGGAAAAACAACAACAACAACAACTATTTCCAGTAAATCACAAACGACAAAAGTTGTGGAGCCTTCAAACACTTGAGGACAATCAGTGACCTTGGAATCAAAAAGTTAGAAAAATAACTAACTTATCATCATCACTGCACTGAAAAACAAGGTCATAATAACAGGGGTGATTGAATGGAAGCAAGTGAGCAACCACTGCGTCAAGTGAAGTGTTGTGCAAATCAGTGACACTGAGCTTGAACTGGGAGAGAGAGAGAGTGTGCTTTCTGCTCTTTGATCACTCCCAGACTCAAAGTAATGAGCATAGTTTGGCCTGTGAAAGTCTGTAAGTCTGAAAACCGACCACCAGGGGGTCTCGGAGCACACATAAACACAAACACGTACACACACGCACACACACAAAAATTTCACTCACCCGCTCTCCAGACCGTGGCCTCTTCTTGGGTCGTGTGGGCAGTGTGTCCTCCTTTGGATTTGTGTCAATTGCCCAGTACGAACCCTAAAAACAGAATGAAGACGGACTATTAGTCCCAGTGCAAGCCATCAGTCTTTAAAACAGTGGTCAACATAAAGCCATTCGATAAAACTTTCATTTAAAAAAAAAAAAAGAAGAAGAAGAAACAGAGCACGATAATCAGCAGGGTTTCCAAGAGAAAAACTTCTGTAATCAAATAGTGGGTGCTTTGGCCATCAAACACGTACAACTTTCAGTTCATCAAAGTTTTACAAAGCTCATCTGTAAGCCCATCACGTCAGGAGGACGTTCACGGAGCTATATGTCGAGGTGCGAAGAAGTTGGGCTATTCACTACAGCCGTTTCTTGCGCTCTCTCACTCGCTCTCTCGCTTCACATCTCTCCTGAGCCTTAGCAGAGGCAGGTAAAATGTTAAGCCCCTCCTGAAGCCCCTCTTCCTCAGCCGCAGGTTTATCGATTGCTCCTGTTCAGGGCTGGACACAGAGGTGTTGGATTTCTGGTCAGGTCTGAGCTCTGATAATCAGGCAGAAAATAGCACACCTTGGTTTGGGGCTGCTGGTATCCAAGCACCCAAGACCCTGGCTGAATAATTTATCTTTGCATTCTTCCTGTTTAATTTATTTTTCAATACTGCTGCTCTTCCCAGAAGCTAAAGGCAACTCTGGCCGTGAAGTTGGGCGAAAAAGAAAAAGAAATTAACCTCCAGGCTTGGGTTTTATTTTAAAATATTTCATATTATATGGGATAAGATCTCAATTGTCCAGAGAGGGTGCGATCAAGACCTTTCAAATTACTTGTGCATAGCTCGTGCGTGCACCTAAGCAAGGAGAATAATTGAAAATCACCAAAGGATTTGTCTAGACAGCATGCTTCAGGTTCCTCAAACGCTCGGCCTCCAAAGACATATTGATAAAATGATGTAAATTTCTGCATTTAAACAGCAATACAGCGCATACACACAGGTTAGCAGCCACGGAATGGCAATGAGCACAACTCCTGCACCAGTAGTTTTTCACTACATCTCTACCTTAAGAAAAAGAGCTCATTATTTGTTTCAACACTCTGCTGTTGCAGCAAAATGTTATTTAAGTGTGATGAAAGCTCCAAAACAGTCTGACCAATAACAGAGTGCGCAGCTTTATCACACCTGCTTTCAACACGGCATTTTTGGCTCTTTGAAGCAGTGTAGTACTAAAACCAGCCTAATGAAAGAATGCCACTTAATAAACGTTAATTCAAATGATTAACTTGCCATTTCATTTAGAGAATTTTAAGGTCAGTCTGAAGCAGACAGACGAAAGTCAGTCATTTTGGCCAATAATTAATATTCTAAAATAAGAGACTACTCCAATTTCAGAATATATATACTATTCTAATGTCTTTATTTGTTACTTTTCCCTGCAGAACAAACTTTGGGGTCATGTGTGTGCGTTTGTTTGTATGTTGGTGTATCGTTTTATGCATGTGTTACAGGTATAAACAGCATTGAAGAATCCGCATTTCCAACTGATGAGAGATTTTATTGAGAAAGAGATCTATTTTATAAATTTATATAGATTTTCAGAAAACATTTTATTATATTTTATTTTATTTATTATTTTTCATATGATTTTACTTTTAGTAACAAAAGTTTGCTTATGGTTTTAGTTAAATTGCTATTAAGAACCTGACATACAAATCATAATTAAAATAAAAGATTCTTACCCACAATGAATAAAATATTTTTTTAACCCACAACGCAATGCTATGCGCATGCAAAATGTCATGCAGTTAGATTTCAAATTGCCAATAATTAGCTAATAATATGCATTATACATAATTTGAATAGTGCTGTGACTTACATATAGCTTCAAAATCCTACAGTGACTTCCAGTGAATAAACCTTATATACAGATTAAATATTCTATGCTAATGAATAAAGCTCACATACAGTACCACTTGAATCGAGAGGATTGCCGAGTCCTGTGAAAAGGTATTACCTTTCTTTATAAATTCTAATGGAACACAAGTAGCTAAACAATGTCAAATGTTACAGGTAGCGAGAGCTCCCACACAATAAATACACAAGATAAGTATGGCTACTTTAAAACAAATCGTTAATCAAATACTGAACCATGATCTTCACTTTGCATCTCCATTTATGCATTATATTCAAGCATTAGGTCATCAGACTTTCGTAACATGCAGAACAAATCTCACTGCATTACACATCCTCATGTTCTAGATTTCAATTTAAACAATCGTGTTCCTGTAATTGATGCATTGAGGATGAAGGACAGCTGAAGGTGACTGAGTGTGCTGGCTGTCTGTTACACCTAGCAGATGTAATTTAAATGAAAACTACTGCAAGACTCTTTCAGTGTGGATGGGGAGGCTGAGTAGCGCTCCTTTTAATTAGCTGAAAAATCTTGAAAAACTGAAAGCCCTTGGGAGGAGAGTATCTGTAGGCTGCATCAAAATCCCTAGAGAGAAAGCAACGTTTAAAGAAATCCATGAAAGGAAAGTTTACATGAACCTGAAGTGTGTGGCAATACAATAAGATTGTGTCGAGGTTCATTTTACAGAGTATAAATTTGGCTGAAGCATCAAGTTAAAGATGCAGTAGATGATTGTCTTCAGAAACATTTTTTGTTGTGCTGACTAAAAGTCTCTTCTCATTCCAATAGTAATGATTAAATTAAATGATATAAATGATTTTTTTTTTTTTTATATGCTGGGTAAGGCATAAACCTAAAAAAATGTTCATCCAATTACAATTTGCCGGGACGATAATTCCCATAATTCTGATAAGTAGCCCAAACTGCCAGTAAACAAATGTACATTTGTACATCGCCGCATCCTTTCATGCAGTTCTGTCATTTGTGCAAACACACACGCCCCATTCACATGCACAATAGACGGTAACAGCAGTAAAAACGAATGCTGAATCAAAAAAGTTTTAAGTTTTTGCACGCTGGAGCAAGGATGACACCATGGTTAAATTATTTCCTTTAGACAGGTATTGCTGTTTTAAAACGCATGCAAAGCTGATGTAGATTGTGTTGTGTTATGAATAGGTTATAAGCACAGAAATGTTCAGCCACTAAAATTTTCCGGCAAAAAATGGATGTGACCATTTTCAATTTCATATGTTGTATAGGCGATGCAGTGGCGCACTAGGTAGTGCTGTCACCTCGCAACAAGAAGGTCTGTGGGTTGCTGATTTGAGCCTCGGCTGGGTCAGTTCAGTTGGCGTTTCTGTGTGGAGTTTGCATGTTCTCCCTGCGTTTGCATGGGTTTCCTCCGGGTGCTCCGGTTTCCCCCACAGTCTAAAGACATGCGGTACAGGTGAATTGGGTAAGCTAAATTGTCCGTAGTGTATGAGTGTGTGTGTATGAATGAGTGTATGTTGATGTCTTCCAAAGATGAGTAGCGGCTGGAAGAGCGTCCGCGGTGTAAAAACATGCTGAATAAGTTGGCGGTGTGGTGACCCCGGATTAATAAAGGGACTAAGCCGAAAAGAAAATGAATGAATATAATATAATATAATATAATATAATATAATATAATATAATATAATATAATATGAAAAAGTGGCACGGTGGCTCAGTGGTTAGCACTGTTGCCTCACTGCAAGACGGCCGCTAGGTCAAGTCCCTGCTGGGCCAGTTGGCATTTCTGTGTGGATTTTGCATGTTCTTCTAGTGTTGCCTTGGGTTTCCTCCGGGTGCTCCAGTTTTCTTCACAGTCCAAAGACATGCACTATAGATGAATTGAATAAACAAAATTGGCTGTGGTGTATAAGTGAGTGTGTGTGTGTGAGAGAGATTGAGTGTGTATGGGTGTTTTCCAGTACTGGGTTGCAGCCGGAAGGGCATCCGCTGCGTAAAACATACAGTATGCCAGAATAGCTGGCAGTTCATTCTGCTTGGCGACCTCTGAAATAGAGACTAAGCTGAAGGAAAATGAATGAATGAATATAATAAAATAAAAAAAACGAATTAGAATATTTTCCTTTAATACATGATCAGAAAGCCTCATGTTTTTATAATTCTGTCAAAATATAATAAGTATTTTTATTTTTAACATTTACAATGTTAATCCTTGACAGCCATTTGTTGCTTAAATGTTCTGTGATTAAAAAAGGTCCCTCAAATGCAAACTGCACAATTGTCGCCTACATCTCATAAACTAAAATGAATCAATAATCATTACCGGTCTAGTCAGAAGCATATCTGTGTGTGTAGTTATGGCTTCAAATCTGGTTTCCATTGGAACTAATCAGTACGAGACAGGCTAAACCTCCCAGAACAGAAGTCCACTCAAGGGCAAACGTGATTGCATCTGCCCCAAAAGTTTGGCCTTCCTCAGTCTCAGCAGCTGCGGCAGACCACAAAGGTGAAGTGAACAATCGCTTTTTGCCATCTTGGAGAAACACGCCTCAGTTACTATCTCGTACAAACAGCAGGGTCCATATTCCTGCTGTATTACAATATTGATGGAACATATCAAGAGAGCCCCGCGCAGCTTTGAAGTTCTCCTTCCAGGGGGGAGGGCAGTGTGGAAGGAGGCAAATTCCAAATTGAACATTAGGGATGCAAGCATGTTGGCCGTGCATTCGGAATAGAATCCATCCAGCGATAGATTATTTTGTATTTAGTGGAGCACATCCCAGGAGTGTCAATATCAGAGGATTACAGCAAAACATGAAATTAGCATTCAGTCCCCATCCCCTGCATGCCTCGGCTCTTCTCTTTATGTCGCGCTGTGAGCGTATGTGCGTGAATGCACTCGGCACAAGATGGCTGAGGATACAGGGAAATGAGTGCGTTTTGTGGTGGCGGTACTATATGGCAAAGAAAACAGGTTAACTGGGGTCTGTCGTTGTTGGATTGATAAAATGGCCATTTTTGTGTATATATTGCAGTAAACAAACACGTCATCAGACATGCATGCTTAACTTTAAGGTAGGGATGCAACGATTATAGATTTTGGTTGCATGATTACAGTCTGAGGAATAATTACGTTATTACGACTAATATCCATTCATGTATTTCAAAACACTAGTAGTCTTAGTAAAACTTGTTATACTCTTCAGTGTTATTTACTGCTATTTATTAATACAGCACAATATAGTAATAAAAAACAAACAATAGTCCATTTCGCTCAGGACTTAAAAATAAGTGAAAATGTTTTTGAGCATTTAAACAGATAATGATTTTATACTGAAAATAAATGACAGAACAATGAATAAATAAATCAATAAATAAATAAAAATAAGAATAAAAAAACATGTTGAATGTAAAAAAAAAAAAGTATTTGTCTAATGTAAATCTAAGCTACACATTAGCTTAGTTTTTCCCTTTTAAAGAGAACAAATGTAGTCAAAGGCTGCTCAATCATTGTCCGAATGGCACTTTGAATCAACTAGATAAATTTTTTTTCTGAATTTTCCTTTTGTATTTTTTTCTTCTTCTTTCATTCTTTCAATTAGGTGCGCCTGGAAAGGGTTTACGTGCAAACTGTGCGTCTCTATTAATAATAACTAAATTGCGCACACACACACACACAAAAAAACGAGATATGTGAACGGCCCTTAGTTAATAGCCTCAGCCATAGTTAAAATCAGCATTTAATACGCGTGTGCGTATGGTGTACAAGCTCAGAGCTTTAAACTAGCGCACAGTTGGCATAACTTTGTTTAGTTGCAGAAGTTTTGTTTCATGCAGAAACAAGGCATTATGAAGCCTTTACGATTAATTAAGTGCTGTTAATAGTGAAACCGGTTAATTGCTGCATCTCTACTTTAAAGGACAATATTTTACATCAATACAGTAGTCTGCATAATTGAGTACAGCCCATTTTGAAAAATAATATTTTTATCCATTTTTCAGTGAATATAGGCAATGTATTTTTGCTGCATTTAAACAAAACAAATTAAACAGATATATTTATTAAAATAATATTTTAGTTAACAAACATGTATAGAAATTGAAAGATAATACAATTAAATTATATTTAATACTTTCCTAAAACATATACATTTGGCTGTACTAGTTTTTGGACCATTATTTTATTTTGTATATTATTTTGTTAGATAAGCTCCAGATTTGGCTTCAGTACTGACTAATCTAATGTATATGCAAAAATATAATATTATATAGCTTCCTAATAAAAATATGATTTAAAAAAGAGGTGTACTTAAATATGCTGAGCATTGTATGTTTTTTTTTTTGTCTTTGTATGAGCCTTTTTAAAATTAACTTGTGGTCCTGTTTACACCTTGCATAGTTTGAATAGTTAAACCCTGAACAGTTCACTCCAAAAATGAAAATTACCCATAATTTACTCACCCTCAAGCCATCTTCTGTGTACATGATTTTTTTCTGTTAGATGAACACAGTCAGAGGCATAGTTTAAAATTTGATCCTGGCTCTTCTATGCTGTATAATGGTGTTGGGTAGTGACTTTTGTTTAAAGCTTTAAAAAGTGCTTAAATCTGTTGTTAAGCTAACCTATACACCACATTTCTGTCACAAATATTTAAAAATAAAACACTGTTCTACAAAAATACAAATACTGACTTCCGGCAGCAGTCGAATGCACATAAGACATGACTGGCGTATACAATATATTATGCATGACATAAGATGGGTAGACACACGTACACATATTGCAAGAGTAATATTTTTTAACATTATAAAAGCGTTAGCTGGTTTTCTTGTTCGTCGTTGTCTTCTGTGGTAAACAAACTGTGTGGTAAGTGGTTTCCACAAGATGCTTCTATTCCCAGAGCTTCCACTATGAATGCATCTTATGCCATGCGTCAGAAGTCATATACGTCAGTTGTACATAACATGCATTCACCCATGGCCGGAAGTACATTTAAAACATATCCAATTATGTTAATCAAGCTGAAAACTGTAAAATGCTAACAATTAACTGTATTATGCTTACATTGAAAAACGTATCCAATTATATTAATCAAGCTGAGAAGTGTAAAATACTAACAATTAGCTGCTCATATTTACACAATAACAGCCTACCGCATAAAGTATAGAAATTAGGAAAAAAAGAACTTTTGATGTTGCAGTGATCACATTAAAATAATACATATACAAAACATTTTTGCGTTTTTGCATTTAGGCATAAGATGTGTGTTGGGTTATAATGTTCCAAATTACATGCAAGAAATCTAATACAACACATGTAGTTTTGTTTCAGAGACATGCTAGCTTATTTAGCACAATAGTGCAGCAATTGTTGCCATGCATCCTAAATTTGTTGGGCATTTTTGTTCAGTTCATTGCCATTTTTCCCCATATTTAATCACTTTTTAATGTATATTAAGTATTAGGGCAGCACAATATACTGTTTCAGCATTGATACTGCAAAGTGTGCATCCGCAATAGTCACATCGCAGGATCTGGAATGTTAAGTTTATATGTTGGTATTCTATTGGTCTGCTTCCACTGAGTGGTAAAACAAAAAACGATAAAAAGCTAACCGTACCACTTTTTGGGTCGCCTTTGAAAGGGTACCTAGCATTACAAAAGGGTACCAAAAGGCGGAGCAAGACGCACAGCTGAAGGCGTTACAGAGAAACACCATAAGCTCGTACACAAGCCAAGAGAAAGAAAACAAACGATGCGGCATTTTTAAATACAGCCGAGACATTACACCATTATAATATATACCTAAAATCATGAGCTATGGTTGACCCAAGCTCAAACAAACCTGAACTTCGTCTTGATGAACAGCCACAAGGCCAAGAAGAAGAGCATTGGTACACTTTTGGCAGTGGAATAGCAAGCCTAATGAAGGTGACCCGTACCGAACCACAGAACCTCAGTAGAAACGGGCCATAATTGACCAAGAGCCACAGATTAGAACACATGATATTTGTGGAGTCAATCCAGAATCAAACCATAATGGAGTAAAGGTAAATCATTTGCATGGATTTTTAAGGCCTGTAACTGTGCTCAGGCACAAAAAATTATACCAATCGTACCTTTACTAAAGATTTATTTTATTGAACTGTTTTTACAACGAAGACAACACCATGTTTTTACATTTGATTATTCAATCTCTGAACATTAATGTTGTTAGACATTAAATAATGCTTGTTTGTCTATTCATCAGTTACTGAAGCCAAATTTGGAGCTAATCTAACAAAATAACTTATGATAACGGTCCAAAAACTATTACACCCTAATTTATGTTATAGAAAAATATTTAATACATTTTTTTTGCGATATTTGCTTGAATTTAATTGTATTATTTGTCATTTTCTAAATGTGTTTGCTAACTAAAATATTATTTTACTAAATATATCTGTCTAATAAATCTATTTTGTTTGAATGCACCAAAATAAAATGCCTATATTCACTGAGAAATGGATAAAAATATTCATTCAAAATGGGCTGTACTCAATAATGCTGAGCACTTTACATGAAGCATGGTACTAAATTTTTTTCTTTACTTATTTTGGCCAACGTCATTATAGTTTTTGTTACTTTTTTTTGTAACGTGAACAAATCTCAGGTTTGTATTTTTTAATCCTCATAAGCTATCGCTTCTAACCCTAAAATAAAATGAGATTGCTGTTTTAAGACACCAACTAATGCTCAATTCATAAACAGAACCAAATATTTTTGTGCTTTAATTTCAAAGAGAACATTAAGAGAGCTGACACTAAATAAGGTAAATCTGTGAGTATCCTTTCAAATTTGATCTTCTTGCTAGCACCGATGGCAGACAAGTAAGTTACTGCAAGCTTGTAATCAATAAGTCACATTATCTGTATAATTGTTTAAATCTGTCAGAAACCAATGTATCATTTAAAGCCACTGTCGACCGATTTATTGAAGGTTCCGATAACATTGCAGATTTGAATATACTGTTTTGTAATTTGGCCCAGACGTGAATCTGTCTGGTTGTTTTAGCAGTGACGGGCCGGCCAAGCAGCATGCAGACTGAGGGGAAGCAGGTGGTGGTCTCCCCCTCTCGTGCAGTAAGTGCTGGGCTGAAGTGCTTTCTCCTCTACCCGAGAGAGCTCCGGAGAGCGCTTTTAAAATGTTACTGCGAGTGCTTGCTCTCATCTACTTTCACAAGGATCCGTATGCATTTTTTAACGACTGAATCTGCTCTGGTAGTGGCATTTTGTATTTAGAGAACGTACAAAACGCACATTTCTGAATAAAACAGCACTACATATGGAGAAAGAAGAGAATGCTTACCTTTCCCGGGTCATCTTTGGAGCGAGGCACTTTGAGAAAACACTTGTTCAAGGAGAGATTGTGCCGTATTGAGTTCTGTTGGAGGAAAGGGAGACAGAGAAGTGTTTAGGTTGCTTATAGGTTAATGAGACTCGCGCATGACATTACGCTACAATACTACCCTAAAACCCTCATTTACATGCAGCCTATAGCACAGTGTCAGACAGCGCTGTAGGAATTGCTGGCGTGTAGGGTCCCTAGAAATAAGAGCATATGAATAAAACACTGGGGTATTATAACCAAGAGTCTGCGTCATCTTTTCAGTACTATGCAAAGCATCTGGGCCAGAGAAAAATATATTAAAGAGATTCATCTTGGTGCAGACGACAGCCTAGAAAAAAATAAAGCAGAACGATTAGGACAATTGCAGAATATTGAGACTCCTAAATGCAATAATAAAACCCCTGACTCAACTATTTTTAACTACACAGAGATTTTTCACAACTATGGCGATTCCCACACGTCTAAATATACACTGAAAATATGACACAAAAAATGCCAAATATTCCCATACATGAAGGATGTCCTGAGGTTAATTAAAAAAAAAATCCAGTTTAACAGCAGAGTAATTAATTAATCATCCCGGTTCTCAGGGGAAAATGAATTATGCAAATTATTTTTTCTTAACTTACACAATTCTTTAATGAGCTAAAGGTAATTTTTCAGCATGTGAGGGATGAATCAGCAGGAGGCGGCTTGATCGCACATCATGCCTTAATGCTCGCTGCATTCCAGCTGGAGCTCAGCCAGCCACTTGGCTTAAGACACCAGAAACGCACAGGTTTTGAAATCATTTGACCAAATTGTATTGACAGATGGCTGTGATATAAAAGCTCTGGGATCTTCGCATGAGCTGGTCTGGTGTGGAATGAGAGGCTACGGAGAGAAACACGCTCAGAGGAGATTAGACGAAAACACTAAGCAAACCCACAATCTAGGTTAATATGTGATGAATTTGTGCGAGAAACCTACAGTATAACATCTAATGAGGGCAATAACGGGCTATTTCCACTGGGCTGATCAGGGTTGATTGCAGGTGCATGTTGGATGTTAACAGCGGACCAAAGGGAACGACATGTCAGGGTAAGGGTGTCTCTGACTGCGTCAGCACTTCTGTAGCCATTAGTGGCCATAAAGGTGAGCTCTGTTGGATGGCTGAACCTGATGGTTCATGAAGCGCATGCATAACAACAACACAAAGGCAGGTCAGAGCAGAAAATAACCTGCCGATGAACCCAGTGGCCTCAACGCATCTGTCCACAGACCCTAATCTTGAAGCACATTAAAACTTTAGCAGCCACAGCAACTCTCCACATTGCAATATCTGAGGTTAGTCAGGCAGACAGCTTCACGCGCTCTCCCCGGAAAAAAACAATAAAACAATGTCAACTACTTAAGCCTGTTCTGCAATAGTGATGTGCACTTTGGGCATTTTGAATGCTTGAGTACTCGACTGATAAAACAGAAGAGCACTTGATGTCGAAGAGGGGACATGGAGTGAAATCTTTCTTTCTTTAATTATAAAAATGCATCAAATGGACATGCTGCCTTTCCCGATCTGCATAGGAATCCGATAGCTCCGACAGAATAAAACAAATGGGTTTCTTCTTGAAACTGATGATGCTGCCACCGACCGATATCAGGTTAGTTGGTGACTAGCTAAGTGGACATGCAGGTCAGACAGGCAGGTCTCTTTCCCCGGCTGTCACACTCCTGCTTTTGTCCTCCGCAGCTTTAACCTCACTCTCCCTCTCTCTTCTCCGTCTTTCCCTCTTTCTCTGCTGGGGGCCGGAGGGTTCAAGGCTGGCTCAGCAGGGCTCCTGCAGACAGACACGGCTAATAAGCACTACTGCACCAGTCCAGTCTGTCTCCAACTCTCTATCAGGGGAACTAACCAGGAGAGCCGCAGGGCCAGCTGCCATTCTGACACACTGAGTTTGAGAGAGAAAGAGTGTGTGTGTGTGTGTGTGTGTGTGTGTGTGTGTGTGTGTGTGTGTGTGTGTGAGAGAGAAAGAAAGACTGAATGTGTAAGAGAGAAAAAAAGCGAAAAGGAATGACCAAGAAAAGTCAGAGTATGACAGCTTGTGTATGTACAATCCCACTCCCAAGTTTATTAGATGATCCACCAAATCTAATGTATTTCTCAGACATCACCAGCCCACCATATATTAGCAATAGCATCTATTTTTTTAGTTTCTCTCTTTTAATATACAGTTGTATCCAACTGTTATAATACACAAATAATTGCTTTTAAAAATCTAATTAAATGAAGATAATACTGAACTTAAGTACATCAAATAAAAAAGGAACAAAAACTTAAACCTTTGACAATAAATCCTTAAAACGTTGAAAGAAAAAACTAAGATAAAATAAAATCCTATCCTTCACCTTGTCTTCTGTGAACACTCCACTCAGAAATACGTCACACAAAAGTAAAAAGGGTAGTGAATGCTATTTTCTGTTAGAGACAGATGATTCATGACAACATGAACTGCTACTACGCTTCACATCTTGGCGCACTTAAGGTAACACATGTAACCTTTTCTCCAATTCAGCAGAGTCCTGCTTCAGAGAGTCCTGCTTGACAATAAACTACACAAGACATTTTTATTTTTGACCCCGAGTTCAACTAGAAAAATGAGCTATACTTATTGACGAGTTACCCACTCAGGTGTCTTGCATAGTCGTACCTTTTACCACACATGTCCGGTCTGACAGCATCTTTACATACGTTTTTGGTGTTAAATCAAAGATCAGCATGAACATGAACATAAGAAACAACTACAAAACATAGAAATATTTGACATAGACCGCTATCACAGATGAATAGCTGGAAAATGCCCTCGTGTACTGGTGTGTCTTGCACAGTACTATCAAAGGCTGGTTTATACCTCTGCGTCGAGTGATAGGCGTGGCCCACGGCTACTTTTTTCAAATGTGATTGTGTGTGTGTGTGTGTTGTGCATCACACACCAAGATTAATTCTGATTGGATATTTACCAAAATACATCTCCAAATCACATTCTTGTCACGTTTTATTTGCTAATGTAAATGGCAGTATATTTTAAAGCATAATTGTCATCATCATTTAATTTTTATTTAGTTTTTTTCTGTAGAAACTTGCTATTTATTGTGGAAATATAAATTTCTATCAACTAATTCCAAATGAACAATAATCTACGTATAACTGAAAAGTTATATTCTCTGGTTTTTAATTATATAATTTCATTAACATCCCAGCTAGGAGGGACATTAACCTTTTGTCTGTCTGATCACAGGCTAAGCCAAAGTAATGCAAATTGTCAGTTTCACAGCATGGGGTGTCTATTGTTTTCTCTTTTCGATCAAATGGTCAGGCGGTTTCTGTCTCCAGAACATGATGAGATTAGACCTGAGAAGCAGTTTACTCTGCCGACCACAACCCTTAATTTGCATACTTTGTTTAGCTATATCGCCTCCTCCTAAGAACACAATATAGCCATGAAATCTTTGTCTTAATTCAGACTAATTCAGACTTGTGTGAGACTTGTGTGAGAGACTTGTGAAAGAACTTGCAGACTGCGGACCTCTAGTAGGCTCTTGCAGACACGGACATCTTAAAGACGCTGTATGACTGCAGATTAACCAACACGTCTCAATAAAGGAATTCTGCTTGTTCTGAGTCTCCTGGACTGGGTTCTCTCTTCTTTTTCACTCATTTATTTTTTTTTACAATGACGAAAATCCTTCGTCAATGAAATTAACACTGGCATCATGCATATATAAGATAAAAACATGAGCTTATGGTAAGTCACCGTACATTCACCACGAAAGCGGCGAGAGCATCAAAGTAGCCGGAAGTGATTAATTTTCAATGAGAGCTGGCTGCGATAAGCGGCGAGGAGCAGCACGACGCGTCTTCGACTGTGTGGGCATCGAGGAGAGTTGAAATGAAGTTAACTTTATGGTGATGACGCAGTTCGGCAGCAAGCAATCAGAATGAAGAAGTCCACCGCTTGAGAGGAGTACAGAGAACACAGTCACTGTGAACTTTGGTTCCGACCACAGTTGTTTCCAAGGATTTAATGATTGCAGTCGCCGTATTTCCAATTATTTGCAATGTTTTCTTACTGGAACATGCATTAAATAAGTTACTCGCGAGCAATTGATGTGCATTAATGTTAAATATATTTAACTTTAAAAAAGCGAGAATCTCATGTGATAGTACAAAACAGTATTGCTGTTTCAGGATATTTCAGACATATGAACATATTAGATAATTAAGTGGAGCAAAGCCACACCACATGCAACTTCATGTGCCATTGTTAAAAGAATTCGATAAAAAATGTGCAACATTTTCATTCTAGAAAGCATGTTTTATGCAGTAATGTAACTGATATGCTGCAACAGCCCCCTTAAATACGTGATCGATGTAGCGAATTTTGACACTCACAGAGGTGAAGGCAGACAGCGTTGTCACCAAGGCGGTAAGAGCGACCTTTGACGCCCTCACCGCCTTCAGTGTAAACGCACAGTCAGATTGCTGCACATTTGAATTCTCTTCTCAGTCAAGCTGTTAGCCTGTGCACATGTGGTAGCTAGTAGGTTTTTAAAGGGATATTATTAACAAGAACATATATAAAAAAATTTATAAATAAAAACATTTAATAACCAACATTGGGAAATTACATTGATTTTAGGGTATGGATAATTTCTATTAAATGAATGGCTTAGCCTTAATGCTAACTGTTACCAAGTCTGACAGCATCATTACTGGTGTTAACCCAAAGGTCAGCAGGCCAGCCATGAACATACAGAGGATAGAAATATTCAAGATCATGCTAGCACTGTTGAATATCTTCTGCTTGACCGCATAAATTACAGCTACAGCTGAGAAGCACAGCAGAGCAGTGAAGTGATGAAGAGGAGGAGAGATGTAGGAGTCGTTGAGGACGAGGAGCTACAATAAGAGGGTCAGACACTGAGCTCTGTGGGAGTGCCTGTCAATTACAGTCTCGGTAGGCTGAGATGTACCTGCGTCCCACAGCAGGAGAGCT